TGCCGTAAACTATACTTTTATCGGTAAAGGGTAGTCGGTCGTTTTATCTCTTCGTTAAAATAAGGGTTAGGGTTAAAACTAGGCTTTTATTAATTAGGAAGTTAGTTAATTCTTTTAATACCTTTAAGATCGCCGTCGAAAAATTTAATTACGTAATATTAACTTAATAAGGGTCGAAAAGTCGTAAGGTCCGGTATAGTATTCGGCCTTGCGAGGTCGGGTTATCGACAAGGGTATCGACTTCGGTTTACTTAGTGATTTAAGCGTTAAAAGAGCTCATAACCTATTGGGCTAGTGACCTAGGAAAGTCACTGGCTACGAAAATGAGGCCAAAATTGGCCAGAAAAAAATAGTAAACAAATTGGTATTACAGTAGTTGGTTGTTGGTTAAAAAGTAAACAGTAAGAAAATCCAGCCCCAAGAGCAAACCGGTGTGGGTCTGGGAAAACCTGGGCCCTTTGGTGCCCCACATTACATGATGTTTACAGAGCTGAGAACAAGCCGTGGCCTGGTATACAGACTGCATTGACTCTCCTTCCTCCCTCACCCTCACAATGCGACTACCTGCCGGTGGCATCAGTTGCATCACTCCTGCCTGTGCTGCTTCAAACCCTCCCGTTATTGCAGTTTGACTGTCCAGCTTGCTGATATCCTCATCCTGGACGGCGTCGGATTGCTGAAGTGCATCAAGCTAACGGCGGGGTGTTCCTCGATGCGATGTTCAGAAGAGTCTGCCAAGTGGCGTTGCAGGAGGAGGAATCAACGTTTAATGACGTAAACACGGCGTATGACAAGTTATTTCGCTGTTCCGCCTTTGTCGCTTCCCGAAGATGACTGAGTTGAGCCGGATTCCTTCTCTTCTTGTGTGTTATCCGTTGGAGGTGGAGGTGGAGGCGGAGCTGATGAGCCGGAAGGGTAGTAGGGGATGATGTGGCAGATGTAGGGTGTATCGTCCTCGGGCATGATGTCTTGACTTGGGAGAACACCGCTCTGGATGCTGGTTGTATAATCACGAGCCAGAAGATACCAGGACACAGAAGATCAACAGGGCCGGCATCCTGACGCCCTTTGTAGTCGTTGGACAGCATTGCATTACATCATGACAGTGAAAGCTAATGGCTACCTCAAGACTTCTTGCCTGCTCTAGATCAATCCGACCCTCATAACACCTTCTTCATAGAACGGAGTAGTTCCACACTATGCTAGGCTTCTGTCGAGCCTCAAGATCGCATCTGGTGTGAGCGCCCCTTGCCTAGGAGGATCAATGATCATTAGAGGGCTCCCGACCTTCCTGATAACTTGCACCCCCACCAGCATATTCCCAATCGGGACTATAAACTATGTTCAAACTGCTGGATAGAGGCGGGCCTATGATCCTCCTGCCTGGGTGAAACATAGACTAGGGAAGAAACATGACCCCAACATTCTGCAGGGATCTTTGCATCAGCCCTATAGGCGTTGACAGTATGGGCAGGCCGATAGAATGCTGACATGGCGGGAACTCTATGTATGTATGGCGGAACGGTTCCCATGACGCCGGTCAGCAGGCATCGCGCCTCTCGGAAGTTTGAAATCCACATGCTTCCGTCAGCTCCTGGGGTCGGGTGGCGTGGCTTGCCATTCACCGCCTCCTGGCTGATTATCAGCGAGTACTGGGCCTGTCAGCGCACGCTAGATGCACAGCGCCCTTGAGTCGACAGCTTTTTCCATTGCCGCTGTGGTGGGAATTAAGCGCCCGATGACTAGTAAGGCCCGATATCCGGGTTGAAGCTTGAACTCACGCTCCGAAGAAGGGTTTACAAGGTTGAAAGAATCTCAGGGAAGGCTCTGGCTCGGCCTGAGCTAGTTTTCTTTTCGCCGTGACCGACGACTGTGGCAGTGCCACAACTCCGCCTTTTGTGTTCACCACTGAGAGCTTGGAAAATGGTCACTTTGGATGTTCTTGCACCATTGATGGAGGCCCCGATTGGCTCAGCTGGTTAGAGCGTCATACTAATATACCTCTCGAGGTATATCAAATCATGCGAAGGTCAACAGTTCAATCCTGTTACTGGGCATACAAACACACACCACACGATTGGTGTTAACTTTTGCAAATTTAAAATGGGATGAAACCTCTACTTTTGCTGATAATTCTGTGGAAATGACAATAACCGATCATCATCACCTCGGGAACATTTTGTTGCTAGCCCCTGAACAATGTCAACATCCCCTGGTCTCCCAGGCAACAACAACCCCTGAGGTACATTTTCTCAAGCAAGGAACCCACAATCTCCCAGTGTCAAGGCTATGCGGGCAAATTTCCTCTCCTTCAGCGCATTCCTCATGGACAAGAAGTTGGAAAGAATGGCATGAAAGATCTCCATCTGATAACAGCCATAGCTAAAGGCGCATCGCACCACTTCGGCTACAAAATATGCCTTCATCTTGATGTCGGTTGATGCTTCAAAGCCGATCAAGTTCCTGAGTCATGCCTCGTTAGTAAGCCGCATACCAAGAGGATGGACAAAGAAGACCTACACCCAGACATAGATGTACGGCAACCCAACCCAAGCCTTTAGGCCAATGAATCGGACATTTTCGTAGATAACCTGCAAGTCTTCCTTGTTCGCGCCGTCATCGAAGGCATCCAGTCCCTCCAACAGAGTCCGTCTCATGATCCTGGCCGTCAAGGCACATGTCTCGAGAAACAAGCCAGAGATATCGGAGGCCTCCCATGGTTGATCGATGATACGGTCCAAGTCGACTGTTCCGAGGTGCTGCCAATCGGCCTCGTCTTCCCACCCCCGCTCGGATGGTATTTTGAAAAAACGCCTCAAGGAATCCAAAGCCGACTGCAACACCTCAGGCAGATCCCCGTGAATGTGTGGCTGGACATACTTATTGGCCAGATCGAATTCGTCGGCGTCACACATTAGGAAGGGGGATGATCTGAACTGCTGGCCCTCGAACGGCCCCACTGTAGCGGCTCGGAGGCTGGTGACTGGGTTCAGAATGTTAAAAGCCAAGGGGGCATCCAGGGAAACGCCTTGCAGCATGTCGCCCATTACCACCAAGTGCTGCATTACCACCGGCATTTTGGCTAAGCCTCCTCTGGACTTGATAAACATCTCCACCGCAGCAGAATGTGTGATGGCCCTCGGGCTCAGACGCACCATCTTGTATTCGTTGCCGTTAGTAATCTTCACTTCCTAATCCGGGCCTTCGTATCAGCGAGGGGATTTTACCTCAAACATGGAGAGCACCACCACCGGGTAGACAACCTCATGGAGCTCTCTCTGCTCCGCCCCGTCGATGAACTTCTGGAGCTCAGACACAGCCCTGTACTCGTAGTAGGGATAGTTCATCTCGTCCCTACCCTTGTATGCGTCCAAGACACCTGCCGTAAGCAGCCAGCCAATGTAGATACAGGCCGACTTTGACATGTCAGGCCTAAAATACGACGGCTGCTTGAACCCCACCAGAACAAACGCCTGGTCGAGGTACGAGGAGTAGTTGTTACATCGGGAGAGGTAATCTTGGAACGTGCGGGCCGACACTCCCGTGGAGTGGGTGGACAGCGGGGGTGCGCCGCACATGTCTCTGATGTTGGAGGGAGGAACAGCATGACGGGCCCGGCTAGAGACGAGTGCAGGAGCGGCGACGGCAGCGGCAGCAGCAGCGGCGGCGGCGCGCTTGCGGCTAGTGTTGGCTCTCGGTGCCTTGGCTAACACCATGGCGGTGGAGTCCTCAGAATCCTCAGAGACATCGGTCGTGCTTGGGGTGGGGATGGCAGGAGCAAGCCTGTTGGGGTGTTATAACACCAGGACGAGGTCAGATCTGGGGGTTCCCAAATAGGAAAATGCTCATGAAACGGGTCCACGTGGGGTTCCAAGTAAGACGTACCTGCGCGGATTTAAGCTCAAAACAGTAGCGGATGCTGCCGAGGGACCCGAAGGATTGGTTACACCTGTGTCTAGTGAAGCCATATAGGGCTGATGATTAGCAACCCAACGGCAGGCTCACATGCAGCACTTGTACATCAAGGCGCGACACAAGGTCCGACTTACCACGCTGATGCGCGTTGGCGGCCCTGGCAAGTTTCTGTTGGCCGCGGACCGAGACCATGGCCTGGGAACGGACGAGCTGCTTCTGTTTCTTGTCCAGTTTGGGACCGCCATAGTTTACAAAGACCGACATGATGACGTTTGATTCGGAGTGAGGAATCGATGGTCGACAATACTCGTCGGCTGGATCACACAAACAGGAAAGAAGAACTTATAGCGAGGAAGGTTAAAGGAGAGGCCGAGAGGGACCTTAGTCAGGAATATATGGGATCGAAGAACACTGTTGCTGGCATTAGCGCAAGAGGTTCCTGTACCCCCGTGGTCCCTCGAGAGCGGGGTGCTAAGCGGAGGTGGCGGAGCAGGTCTAAAGGAGTCTATGACTGCTCAATATTCTACTTCAGGATCCATTTCTCTCGGCCGATAACTGAGGATCGTGGTCGTCGGGCACCTCAACACGGTTCGAAAGGTGCATACCGCACCCAGCATTGCGGGTAGAAGCCGCGTTCCGTTGCATTGGAAGTGGGGAGACTGGGCAAGACGATCGTGGAGCTGAAAATACCAAGATTAATGCCAAGGGAAGCCAAGCTTGAGTGCTTGAGAATCGAGTGTTTCAATTGGTGTTGAGCAATATCCATTTTGAGCATAGCTTGGACTGAGGGCAGACAAGGGTTGCGATTGGGTTGTCTCTGATTGTCGACTGCATCAGTCACACAGGGAAGGAAGAACTGTTTAGCAGGGGTGCAAAGATACGGAGGAAAAAGGCCTGGTTGTTATTCTTAAAGGTCGGAAGACGTGTTGGCATCTTTGATGGCCCCTTGACTGCATGTAAGTGTAGAAGGTATGAGCATGACTATCTTTAGTGGTATGGCAGCCATACTATGGTTGCCTTTAAAACTTGAGAGGGTGGTTCAGCTGACTGAGAGTTAGGTGTACTTCTTAGTGCTAGCTTTCATCATTGTGGCATTACCTTCTGTACAGAAAAATGGGACTGTCCATTCCAAAACTCGTTCCGTGAAGATCATGCTGGTGGTACAAAACATTCGAATTATGGCAGCTCATGTTCCATGCCTCAAGCCGATAAAATCCCCCAACAACCATCAGAATCCAAAACAGACGTCAAACTTGGCCAGAATCAGCCAAATGTTCCATGCTGTCTACCAGCACCAGCAACCAAACTAGTCATATCAAGGCGCTTGGATCTCAATCTGATTTTCTGCTCCCGGTAAACAATTAAACGTTGCTAATTTACAGAAAACAAAGGCTCCATCCAGACAAAACAATACTCCATGCTCCAACTCTGCTTCCACATTTACAGCCAGGGCATCTAAATATCTACAGAATTCCAACCCAAAACCTCCACGCGCTCTTCCCAAAGCTCACGAAGAATGGCGAGCTTAGGTCAACCTGACAAAGGTGATATCATCAATATACACGTCATTCGTCGCACCTACGTTCCCACCGACATTGAGTACAAGCTGCACCCATGAAGCCTTCGCAGTGAAGGTGATTTCCCTTGTCCCCCAAGCATTCGCTGGCGCCCCGTTCAACTGCGCTTCGGTAAAGGATGTTTGCAGAATGTCGGGGTACACATAAAGGTACAAACTGGTAGCAGAACTGGGGTTCGTGTGCTGGAAAGACAAGCTGAATCGATACTGCTGGCCGGGGACGACGGGCAGGTTGTACGTCAAGCTGTTTCCTCCTCCGTTGACGTTGAGATACCGCATGAGGAGTCCCCCCGAGCCCGACTTGGGACGGGCGTTGCTGATGGTTGTGGACACCAGATGGGTCGATGGCCCGAGGACCCAGTCTCCGAGAGTGCCATCCTCAAAACCGCCATCGCCCTTGAGCAGATCCACACCGGTCGAGGGAGTCGGCGAAGGCACCTGACCGACGGTGTAGGTGTTTGTGGCGCAGGCGGAATCAGACTGGCATATGATGGAGGCAGTGGGCGCGTGGAGGCAGGCGTAAACGCTGTCGGCGACGGAGCGAGCAAGCGCAGAGGATGGGACTGCGGGGAGCGCAGTAGTGGGAAAGCAAGCTGTAGCCGCAGGGTTGGTGGGCATGCCGTAGCGGGTAAGAGCACTCTTGCAAGCGCTCATCGAAGGTCCCACGCTGCGTGAGTTGAGAGTCGTAGATGCTAGCTGTCGGCAAGCGGCCGGCAGACCACCAGACACATAGCAGTACTCGGGGTTTCCGTTATAAGTGGGCGTAGGGGGGCAGTCGGTAATGGTGGTCAACTCAGGCCCCTGGGTCGTGGTGGTGGAAGACTCGGTTGAGGAAGGCAGCTCGGTGGTGCTGACAGGAATATCTGAAGTCGTGGTCTCTGGCTCGGTCGGGGCAGTCGTTGTTTCGGGCTCCGGGGTGATGGTCGGCGTATCCGTCTCGGTCTCAACGGGAGTGGTGACTTCTGCAGAGGTGGTCACCGAGGTCGATGTTGCCTTGGTGTACAAGTTCATTCTGTCCGGGCCACCACACCACTGGCCGGGAGCACCCACACAGAGCATGGCGCAGTCTTTCTCGGGTGCGGCCTGTCCGGTCAGCTCGTTTCCACAGTAGCATTCACGTGAATACTCGAGGCCGAAGTAGGAAAACTCGCTGCATCTGTCGGCACACTTCTCAACCGTCATGTCATCGGTGCGCCAGTCGACAGCCTTGAGGGAGCGGTCATCCACCTTGTCGGTCCAGCATGAGGCATAGTGGAAGTCACCAACGGACTCAAGGTTGCTCCCAGCTCCGACCGGGTTTGGCTTCTCGTAGATGTTGAGCCGGTTGGGGCCTCCACACTGCTGGGAATGGTTGCCCATGCAGGTCATGGAACACTCGCCCTCCGACACCTTGGTGCTGGCGGCATCCAAACTTGTCCCGCAGAAGCACTCTGTCCCGTACTCGACACCGAAGAACGCGTATCCGCCGGCGGTGCATGTGGCAGCACACTTCTCCAGAGTCATGTCGTGCTGAGCGACCGTGATGCCGCCCAGCACGCGCTGGGGAACGTTGTCTGTGTAGCAACCTTTGTACTCGAAGCCCGAGATGACCACAGGGGGCTCCTCCGTATCCGAGTCGCAGGCTCGGTCGAATTCGTAGACGTTAAGCCTCATGCCTGCACCGCATGTCTCGTCTGGGTTTCCGGAGCAGGGCATGTTGCATTCGGAGGCCGGTGCGGCATCGGTGGGCTTGTTGCTGCCGCAGTAGCATTCCGAAGACCACTGTGTGCCGAAATAGTCGTAACCGCGGCAGTTGGCTGCGCACTTCTCTGCCGTCATGTCGTGGGTGCTGATAACCTTGCTGGGCAGCACTCGGCTTCCAGTGTCGACGAAGCAGCCGAGCACCGTGTATTCGGGGGCATCATCTACCTGTCGGGAGTAGAGCCCGTTCGGGAGAGCAGAACTGGTCGAGAGAAAGAGAGCACCCAGCGACAAGAGCCGCATCTTTGAGCGAGAGGAATCCATCTTGAAGACACGATCTCGTCAACAAAGACAAGGAAGAATGACAGTCAGAACAAGAGAGCAAAACTCCCAGGTGGGGAAACCGACCAAATAAGAGTGCAGAAGACACGGACAACCACCACATCATCAGATCCCGGGGAATCCATTGTCTTGTGAATTCAGCTCAGGTCTGGAACTGGACACCAAACTCCAAATTGATCGTGTCCCAACCGAAGGGGCCGCGATGTCAATAGTGTCGCCCATTTTGGATCATCACGGTCACTAGAGCAGACGACTGAGTGGCGTAGTGTGTATTTTGAGAGCTGAGTTCCCTGCTGAGGTGTCTAGCGCATTTCAATAGTGCTAATCCTTCTGTGGAGCAGGGGATCGAATTGTTCTGGACCCAAACAGCCAGCATCAGATTTGATGGGGAATCCCTACTGAAGGAGAAATTGGATCATGCAGCCACGCTTGCCACCTCCAAATTACATCCAAACCAACAAGCCTCACCTGACAACATGGGGTAAATGTGATTGATACCATAGGTGAGATAAAGAAAGTGCACCCAAGGCAGATGCTTGATTCCAACCCTCATGATGCAGGAATGGAACCTGGCGACTTTCGGAAGCTTCTTCACGTGGTAGTAAAAACAAGCTTCTCGGATTTCGACGAGGGTCCGAAGAGGAGAACGTTCTGGCCAGGCGCGTAGCTTGACTTGGCGTTAGCTACCCCTGCGTGGACGGGGATGACAAGGACAGGGGCCTGGACATTGAACTGGACAAGATATGATGGAGGCTTCTGTTTGAAACAGTGGCTCTGAATGTCTGAGGTGATGATCAAAAAAATACTCAGAGAAAGGCAATGCTGCCAGAGATCGTACACATCACCTACAGTCATTTCATCCCCTTGAGGCGTGTTCCAGATCCACTCGATGAGCATTGTGATGCTCTGTGCACGATTATCTTGACATTGCGTGAACCTCTGCCTGATTCTCTTAATATCTCTATTCACACCCTTGAGAAGACTAACGCAAGGTTCTGGCCAGTAATCTAGTTACTGATCTCCCCATAACATCTGACGTCTTCGTCGGTTCCAAGAACACATTTCTTGGACGCTGCTCAGCGGCTTCCAGTACCCTCTCACGCTGCCTGTTGTGTTTCTTCATGATCCGGCCGGCAGTATCTGCTCTTTCCGGCCCGCCCTCCCATTCCTCACGCTCCCTGGCCGAGACGTACCGGAGGACTTCGTCGAAAGGAACCAGAAGATCAATACTGCCATTGTCGCGGTCACCCACTCGGTAGTAGGTGATCAGTTGTCCACCGTCGGGATGCGAAACGTCAACTTTTTGATGATTGCCTTGATCGCTCATCCCGCGCTGGAGGTGCAGCTCGTCCATGATGTAGCCTCGTTTTGGGTAGACTCTAGAGGCGGGTGTGTTTGAAGTTTGGCTCTCCCGAGTAGAAGGTGGTTGGAGGGCAATGATAGGAACCTTTTGGCCAGGCACCGCGCCCCATGACGTAACTTCCGCTTCTGAAACTCTCCTTGATTGATAGTTCTTGGTTTTCTCATGGATGGCCGACAGTGGTGCCGGAGTCGAGGCTGGGTGAGGTCGTTGGTCATCTTTCTGAGAGCAAAATGGGTCCTTCATTGCTAAAGTCTTGCTGATATTGGTTTGAAGAGATCGCTACTAATAAAAGTTGTCATCAGTACTTGGCTTCAGCGAACGGCTTGTGGCTGTCGGTCGTCGGTACCTTGGCTCTTTTGAAAGGTAATAGCGGACAGGCTACAGGTAGGCTTTCCCGGAAAAGCTGTGGAACTCTCGTCATACAAGAGGAGCAGAGGAAGCTACGGCAAAGTCGCAAATGATTGGGGGGAAACTGACCGAAGTTAACAAACCGAGGAAATCCCACACAAATACCAGCCCTGAGTGGGCCTGCCAGAGCACATGGCCAGGTGGTGAGAAAGTAGATAAATATTGCTCCCACTCCCCACATGACTTTACTATCGGAGGAAACAGGCAATGATGGCGGATGCACAAATGGTGTGCTGAAAACCAAACGATGGCTGCTCATAGTGGGTTATAGAATAGGCGCCAATGTCCCCTACATGCTCATACGCTGCACGCACATGGAAGGCAGATCCATTGCAGACGGCGCTCAAGGCAAGCATCACATACGAGACAGCTGACAGAAATGGGTGATTTATAAACAAGCGTTTGCCCAAAAAGCTACTGAATGAACCCATCCAGGTATCCCAGTGGTATTTCGACGCATGAAAATAGGCAGTTCCTGTAACCGAACTGAAGTGATGAGAAATCTGTCCGCGAAGGCTTGCTCCATGCTCCCTCACTGAAAGTGAGCCGGCAACCCTTCCTCCTCCAGAGTTTTCTTGGTGCTCTCCCTCGCTTCGAGCTTCTTCACAATCTCAGTGTACCTCTCATACTTCTCCATCCCAAACTCATGCTTAACTCCCCACCTGTACAAGATGTACGAATACACATCCGCCAGTGTCAGCGAACTTCCAACAATCCACTCCCCGCCGCCCTTCTGCAGCTCTGTCTCCAGATGCTCATACGCAGCCTTGATGTTCTTCTTTCCACCCTCCTTCACACCCTCCTCCAACTTCTTGTCGCTGACATCCACAAACCTCTTCGGTGCCACAAGCGCCCCCCATCCCACCCCATGCAGCTCACCGGCAAAGTAGACGAGCCATGAGAGAACCCTTGCTTTCTCAAGATCTGTCTTGCCCGCCAAGCCCCTTTCGGGACGAAGAGAAGCAATGTAAGAGAGGATAGCGGGCGTCTCGGTGATGGACTCCCTATGTCCATCGGCGAAGGTGATGACAAAACCAGGGACGTAGTTCTTGTGGTGAACCTGGTCACGGTACTCCTCCGCAGTAAGCGAGCCGTCGGCAGGTTCGATCTTCAGATTGGCATTACGGCGGGTGTTGACAGATTGGAAGGGGATGGAGAGCTCATGAAGGGCCAGACGAACTGCATTCGAGCAAGCTCCTGCGCTGTAGTAGAGAGTGAAATCTGGAAGCGCCGCCATTTTCTAAGGGAATGCAGGAAAGGCTGATGACGGGGCTTTGTTGCGAGGGCTTTGGACTAGTAACTGCTGATTTGATACTGAGATGATAAAGAGGCAGAAGGAGACAACCAGCAGGATCTCTTGACTTTATAGCGAGACTCACAGCAGTCGGTAAAATACTACCCCCTGCCAACCCCGTGTGGCAGTTCAGTCTTTGTAATCAATCACGACTAAAAACATGGCCCTGCCATGGTGTCTTATAACCCCTTTTGGATGTAAAATAGACGTCCAGGAAGGCATTCGCCCATGCCCACAGTTATCGGAGTGATAAAACGGGCCGGAACAACACATGGAATCCTCTTCAGACAGATGAGTTACATGAGTAAGCAAAATTATACAAAGTTCATTTGTAAGCATTATTCATCGGATATGTCATCCAAAAGCCTAGGCCAATGCAATGACACCACACTCTATAATAATTTGTGTTGATCAAATCCTTCGTCTTAAGTTATAGTGCTCTTGTCACGTTTTCTGATGGGGCGCTCGCATTTTGCTCTTCTAGCCTCAGGCTTTCGCTTGCAGAAATGATGAAACACTGCATGATGGACCAATGGCATGTATGTTATGTAAGGGAGAGGTTGGTCATTGATGGGGGTGCATTTGTAATCATCCAAATGATCATTGATCCGGGTTGAACAACGATACATGGGGATTACAGCCAATCCTACATGATTGAGGGCAATCTCTTGGTTTACCTAAGCAAAAGAATTCATTGAGTCGAAAGCGGGTTGCACATCTCCTTAATTTAGTTGTTGAGAGACCGAAGTGCGGTTTTTTGTGTATGGTCCTTAACGTATATTATACGCGAGTGACCCATATAAGCGAGTGACCCACTTCCCACCACACCGTAATAAACTATCCTCAATTATACTGCAACAACACTAGGAAGCAACTACAATTATATTAGAAACGGCTGAATCAGATGATTCCCCAGCCTCCTGGCAAGTGCGCGCGTTATAGCTAGGCTTGCCGCACACACCACAGCACCGAACCCTCGCACGATCTCCCCCTGCATTACTACTATCCGGCTACGTTTCTTGCACTTCCTCCTTATCCACGGCCTTCTGATCCAGTAGATCCTGTGCCTCTTGTATAGTAAGTGACCCTCCAAGCTTCACACGTATTTTTTTTTAGCTCTCCGGCGCTTACTTAGTGCCTCATTAGCTTTACGGAGCGAAAAGACCTTTACACGAAGGAAAGCTACTTAGTGCATTATAGCTGTTATACCTTTAATAAATTAATCTACCGTAACCAATATTAAAGTCGGGAAGCTATTTTAATAATTAATAATATAAGTTTTAATAAACGTTAATTATAAAGTAACTTCTCGAGGGTTATATAGTATTTAGGAGACCTAAAGTTATATAGTATCGGGCCGTAAATTTAAAAGTATTAGCGTATAAAGCTTTATATTTAGCTTAGAAAGTACCCTCTCTAGATTATACGGTATAAGGCTAGTACCCGTAAAGCTACCCTATATATTCTTTTCTATTATAAAAGTAAAAAAAGCTTCGCGGAAAGTATAAAAGAACTTGAATTTATTTATATAATTAATATATATACGTATTAAGTCTTTGATTTAACGACCGTACGTTTATTTTAATGGCCTAAAATAATTAATATCGAGTAGTTAAAGGAGGTAAAAGGAATATAAAAGTATATAAAGCGTAATAATATTATTTTACTAATAATAACGCTCGAATTCGGTCGAGTAATAACTTTTATAACTGTCGAAGATTAATAACCGGTATTTACCCTTTATACGGGACGCTATATAGTAATTAAAGTATTTAATTTAATTTAGGCCTACCGTATTAATAGTTTAATTATTATCGGTAATTATAATATATTAAATAAATAATAAATTATACTTAGTATATTAATTAATAAGGTAGTATTACGCGGCTAAAATAATAAAAAAATGGATAGCCTAGCTGAGGGTATTAACTTCCTAAATTATAGTTACTTATTTGCGGTTATTAAACTAAACTAATTTTACCTTACTAAAACCATCTAAAGTTATAATTACTATACCCGCAAAGATAATACTTATTATAAACTTAATCTCGTTAAAGTTATAAATATTGTTATTTATAATACCGTACTTAACTTTAATATTCCGTACGAACGTAAATTACTCGGTAATAACCTTTAGATCTTCGTACTTAGCTCTCTAATAGTCGTATTTACGTGTAAAACGCGTACGGAATTATAGCTAGCGTTTAACAAAATTATATACCTAGAGCTTGCTAACAGGAGGCGCGTCGCGTACGCGTAGTAGTTAGTTAGCTATATGTGACGAACTCCTGTACAGAACCTTTAAAAGGGATACGGGTTAAAGGTAACTTCTGACAATTAGTTCGGTGCAGCTAAACAGTGCACAACAAGATGTCTCGATGTAAACACAAGATGCCGTGAATACAAGCTTGAATTGCATACTGCGGAACTGTCTATCTACACCAGCCAGTTCCTCCGTATATATAGTCCTTGTGCCAAGCCGTGATCAGTCTCCCAAGGCCACTGATCACCTCGGCTCAGTCTGCTCAGTGCCCTGATCACACTGATCACTCTGCCTTCACTGTGATTGGCTCCCCTATACGTTCTCCCGATTGGCCCCTTATTCCCGTGGCCCCACAACCGTCCTGTACCAGGGTTGTGACACTATATCTTCCACACTACGTAATCTTGGTAGAAAAGCTCGCGTATATAGCTTAATAACGTATTAAACAATAGCCTCCTCTTCGGATTAAGTAAGTTTTTTCGATTTAGGCGTAGTATCGCGTCGTGCAAGCCGGCCAGCGCGCCGACGCCCTAGAGTCTTACGATCGACTCCATAGATCTTAGCTGCGGCTCGTTCGCTTAGATTCTTGTCGTTTTAAAGTGCTTAGAGGGCTAAAATTATGTGGGCTTCATTTAAATTAGAAGGCATCTTAGATAGTTAAGGAAATTGTTATTAAGTACGAAGGTATTATATTACGAAGGAAGTGGGTCACTCGCTTATATGGGTCACTCGCTTATAATATACGTTATGCCCCTGCTCCTTACTTCCAGTCACTGTGAATAAACAGTACATAATATTGCAAGGCCGTGGTCCAGATGCTTACCTGAACCCCACGTTGTATTTTCCTTCTCCAACTAGTAGTTACCCAGCTCTCTACCAGGGCATTCAGCTTTGTGCTCACCTTGCCAGTTTTGCGTTCACAGCATTCAATATGCTCCATCCATCAATGTAGGTATATTTGTTTCAATACCTAGTCAATCATCTGTCATAGATAATATCGCATCGGTCACATTTCCATCGTGTGAAAATTGAGCTTGCGATAGGGACTGCGAGTCTCTGTGAGCCAGATATTATTTGAAGAAGGGTGTAATGATGAACAGAGGCAAAAACTGTACCTGATTCTTTGCATCGACACACCTTGGGCTTCGAGGACAGACTGAATCGAATATCTTTTGCTGTTGCGGTTTGAGTTCCTTACACTGTCCTTATCAAGCATTGCAACGGCTCAACGAGTCATACTGAGACTAGAAAATACAGGGCTTACGCATATCATTCTTAGGTACCTAGGTAGGCTCAAGCCACGTGACTTACTATGCTGCTAGGCCATGAGAATAGAATGAGTGCAGGAGTTTGATAGGTAGTTAAACCGGGTTGAAGTGAACTTAATTTGAGGTGATTGGTGGCCCCCTCCCGCCAAAAAAAAAAAGACATGGGGAAAGTACAGGTAACGTCTCACGTCACTGTAGCATCATGAGGTGGCAACACCTGTGCAGCATCCGTCAAAAGTCGTCCCATTTCGAAAGCGAAGAAGCAAGTAGGCCCGTTCCAGTTTCTTATCACTCAACGCCGATCAGGCTTTTGTTCAAATCATGGTCAGAAAGCCGGAATATCCGGGTGGTGAGTAGCCATCAGAGATAAGCGATGTGTCAATCTCACGCAATGCTACTTGTCCCACAGATAGGCGTCCAGTCATTGGCACCGATGAGGCATCTGGAAAGAAAGGCCGACTGTGATCGAACTTGGCGAGAGAATCTGGAGCGGGATCTGGCTCACTTTAAGAGGCTGCAACGCCAAGAACCTGGGAGGCGCAAGTGCCCGCCCAGCATTCCGTCTCCGAAAGGCCGCCTGTTGCGTGCCTTTAGCACTCCCCGAGCGCGATGAGGCCTTGTTTCCCACACGCCAGTCAGAATCTTACCTACCTTAACCGGAGCCTCGAAGACAGGGTTGCAATGTAGAACAACCGGCCAGCTGTGGCGCAACCTCCAGGTCTTCCATGGAAGGCATGGAAGCTTTATCTGATCTCCGCAGACCCGGATGGATCAGTGTTACCTTCCGCATTGGCTGAAAGAAACACGTGCATCGCCTGATTTAGTCTGTACAATAGGGAATTTGTCTCGCGTTGACACCGAAGATCCCTCAGCGGCACAGTTGTTGTCGTACCCCGGGGTCCTAATCGGGAACTGGTAGGCTAATTACAGCTACAAGAATATCTGGTCAAGGAGTCATCGCGGCAGGCAGCTCTGATGGCACAGTTCCAGTGGGACTGGCCAAATCGGCTTTGGCGGATTGCTCCTGATAGGTAGCTACTATTCGGCATATCAATTTAGTATCTACATCAAGTGCAGGCGCCGAGTCCTGCTAGGCTTGTAGACTAAGGTAGAAAAGGAGACGGTGGTTGGAGCTGAAGCCGTCGGAGCCCGAGGAGCTTACTCGGGGTGATGTGATTCCTTATCCTACCTGTTTTCCTACACAATCTTGTGTGAAGGATTAAGGATGAATCTCAGGGGACCGTTGGTCGCGGAATCTTCGGGTACCGTCGCGCAAGACGACCCATATTCTTCCAACCTCATGAGGGGTCTGACAGATTTGCACAGTTTTTCCTTTCTGTGGCTCGTTTCCAAGACTTGGGTTAGGTGAGAAGCCATGACTGGCGATGGAAGATGGCTAAAGTGCTATCTGTGGGCCCCTCTGCGGTGTAGGCTGGAGCTCTGTATGTCGTGATAGTCTGACTGCATTCCATTAGAGCCGGGCCACCCGGATGTGTATGTCTCACATCTGGTGCTCCTGGTAAACCGACATCAGGAACCGGATCACCGGCTGTCATCGGGTTCCTGAGTATGTAGATGTTACATGTTGCTTCCCCACACCACCTTGTCGTCTTCTAGGTAGGTATCTGAGCAATTTTGAGACAGAATAGTGTGGTGAATGAATTGTGGTAAGATGGACGCCACAGATAAACTCCAGGCTAGCAAGTTGAGCTGGTCGAAGTGATCCTAATCGTCTGTGCTGGTTGCCGACAGCAATTTCTCATATCGACGAGCAACTTCAATAAGATAGGTATGACTTTGAGTGATTGGGGCACACCTGTCAGCTTCACAGACAGGTGCAAGACGGAGACGTACAGTATAAACACGGTACAGCTCCTGCAGTGTCACCCTTCCATCCTTTCCAGAAATACCTGATCCAGCAACCCGGAACCTAATGTTACGCTTGTCTCGGGTCAGCCCCAAAACGATCTTTGCAGTGCATGTCAGGCACTAGCGCTGTGAATTCGCGCTGCTCACACACATACCTTGACCGACAACATGATTTCACTGAGAAAACAACCACTTACCTGGCAATCCCCAAAGCCAAGAAGTCGGACCGATGGACGAAAAGGCTACAAAAGTACAATCGTTGATAAGGCTGTGCCGCAGTTGTGTCTCGGCGCGTTCCCCATATCTGAGACGGGAACGGAGATCACAACATTCTCCCGTAGGTCAGTCCAATGTGTGTCGCCCGGAACCTCCGCCGGCTGTACCGGACCTGCCTTAGTCTCAGCCATGCAAAGTACTGACATTTGGCGCAGAGGTGATCGCCTCGCAAATGGCCGGTTTAAGACCATCATCTCTGTACTATATGTACGTTCTCCTGGCTGCCATCAAAGTCCCCGCAGTTGATCTCCATCGTCTCATCAGCAACCCACAGAAAGCTTAGCATCGACTTACAACTTTCGTCTTGCGGCTAACAGATAATACCAACATCATGGGCTTTGAGCAAGTGATCAAGGCTCTCAGGAACAGCCTTCCCGCCTCAAACCTCTTCTTTGAGGGGGAGAGGGAGTATGAGGCGCTCAACGGGTCGTACCTCTCCGCCATGGAGAGCGATATCAGACCCGCCGCTATTTTCCGACCCGAAAGCAGGAAACAGGTTGCCAAGTTCGTCAAGATTATGAGGCCGTTTTCCCTTGGCGAGCATGGCGAAGAAGCCACGGTCCGATTTGCCATCCGCAGCGGCGGACAGCAACCACTCCCAGGTGTCGCCAACATTGAGGGCGGCATTACACTGGACCTCGGTCTCCTTAATTCAGTTGAGCTCCAGAAGAACGGGAAACAAACAGTTGTTTCAGTTGGCGCAGGTGCTCGATGGGGCGCGGTCTACGACAAGCTGGACGGCACAGGACTGGGTGTCACGGGTGTTCGTTCTGCCTCTGGTGGTGTTGGTGGATTGTCTTTGACTGGTATGTTGCGCCCTTTGCGAAATCTCTGATCAAAGCTCTAACACGGGTATAGGCGGTGTCTCGTTCTTCTCCTCCCGCGAAGGGTTTGTCTGCGACAATGTTCTCAACTACGAGGTTGTCCTCGCCTCCGGAGAGATTGTCAATGCCAACGAGCATGAGAACAGCGACTTGTGGATTTCCCTCCGCGGAGGTGGCAACAACTTTGGGGTTGTCACACGTTTTGATTTCAGGACATTCCCTCAGCCCGGGAAATTCTGGGGCGGCAGTGTTTTCTATTTCCTCTCTAGCTGGCCATATCACGTCGGTGCCCTCCTGTCAGAGCTCCGGAAAAAGGATGCCGCCGACCCAAACGCCCACGTTCAGTTGAGCATCGGTTACTCTTCCCAGTTTGCTCAGTTTGCCTGCCAGAGCCAGCTGTCTTACACTGGAGCGGACGCCACCGAGAGCATGCCTGAGGTGCTCAAACCGTGGGCAGATAGGCACCCTCAAATCGAGCAGTTGAACTCGGTCAGGTTGATGACGCTCAGAGAGGCGGTGTCAGAGCAGCCAGCAGAATCAAAAGGCAACGTTCGGTACGTCATCATACCTCTCACTCGCCCGAGACCACAGACTAACTCTGCCGTTAGATGCGCCTACATGAACGTGACAGTCAAGGCCGACGCGCCCACGCTCTTTGAGGCGACTGAAATCTTCACCAACTCCCTTGAGAGCGTCAAGGCATGCTCCGGACTCATGTCTTCTCTCACATTCCAGCCCTACTCGGTCAATACTCTCCGGCAAACAGTCCGCCACGGCGGTAATTCACTCGGTCTCGACCCCTCAGACGGACCGCTCATCAACATCATGGTATCGACCTACTGGAACAAGAAGTCTGACGATGCTGCCATCCTCAAGTACATGAGCAATGCGACAAGCTACATGAGGAGGGAGGCTCAAAGGAGGAACAAGCTGGTGCCTTTCGTATCCATGAACCATGCCTGGACTCATCAAGACGTTATCGAGTGCTACGGAGAGGAGAACAAGAGGGCGCTGCAGGAGACAAGTATCAAGTACGATCCCGAGGGACTGTTCCAAAGAGGCGTCCCAGGGGGGTTCAAGCTTTTCAACCGGAAATGAGCCGTTTCTTTGCTGACTAACTTTTTCTCTCACATGTCTGGGCGTTCATCATGGTTTGGGTTCGGTTTCTCAAGGATACACTACAGTCGTAACTATTATCTACCTACGTTTCATCATTTGTTCTCATAGCGGCGTTGAACATAGAGCTGTAGTTTGAGTACCTCAAAGCGAATTATCTCTCAATTCATATCGCGAAGGGGCTCAGATTTGACCCTTGAGCCTCATGATAGGTAATTGTACAAGAGCGTATGCCAGCCGCCACCCCGGGCCAACGTAGTGGATGATGATCCCGATCGCGGATCCAATTTCTCCATCTATTATCAGGTCACAAGACCATCTAAAACATTCTCCGCGCCGAGCTGACGGTTATGTGAGACATTTCATTCGATTCCCCATCCTGTCCTGAGACATCTCCTGCCGACCGCTCTGGCCCGGACGATCCCGCTCGAGCGCATCAAACAAAAATCAGATGATGGTTCGAAAGCCTGTTTCCTGGGTGCTTACACAGTATGAGCAGTTCACCGTCTTCCTCGTGAGTTACAGCGCTTGTCGTTTGCTTGTTGCTGGGCCAACTATTCGGGAGGGAAGCCAAAGACTCCACTTAAGGGGTTCAGGGGGATGAAGACTCTGCAGTCAAATTCTGTCATGTTTGGCAGGTACAATCGCGGTAAGGGGTTTCTCGCAAAAGTACAAAAGGCAAATGCTGTGAGGATGAGTGGCGTCATGGTTATGGCTAATAGCTATTGGATGTCACAGGTCACATAGGCCGCTTGTTTTGGCGGCCTAAGGTACCGGCTTGGATGTTGTTGGTAGCTCCCCACCCCGCTCTCCGTTTTCGACTCTTGCCTTGCAGTATCGTACGGATCCGCGAGAACATCTCAATAATGTATCTCATCAACACGCAAACCTACGAGTTGGAAAATGTCGGCTCTCGCGACATGTACAAGGAGTATGCGATCTTGTCCCGCACCTGGGAAGACGGAGAGGCCACATTCGAGGACATGAAAGACCTTGACACCGCTAGGTCAAGACTTGGCTGGCACAAGATTCAACGCACCTGCGAGCTGGCCTCAGCTGAAGACCTGCGATACGCTTGGGTTGACACATTGCTGCACTGACAAATCCAGCAGTGCAGAGCTCTCTGAAGCCATCAACTCGATGTTCCGCTGGTGTATGGAGATTCGCGCGTTTGGTATGTATACTTCAGCGACCTTCCAGCCGAATCTGAACAAACCGGGTCAAGCATCACCGCAGCGAAACTCGTTCACCACCTACCGCGTTGCCGTTGATTTACAAGAGGCTGGACTTTACAAGAACTGATCGCCCCACACAATGTGAAGTTCTATGATTGCAAGTGGAGCTTCCGAACGGAAAAGCACGAGATTCCCGAGCAACTGGCGAGTGTCACCCTTATTGGTATCGGGGTTTTGGAGGACCCCCAGTGTCTATCAACTATCCCTGTTGGACGGCGGACGAGCTGGGCTGCGAAACGCGAGACAACACGGATCGAGGACACTGCGTACTGCCTCATGGGAATCTTTGATGTCAATCTTCCCATGATTTATGGTGAAGGCGAGAAAGCCTTTCTCCGACTGCAAGAAGCGATCGCAATGTCGAACAATGACCTCTATCTCTTTGCGTGGATGGCCAACCCCAACCTCTACGGACAGTGGCATGGGGCATTTGCCACGCATCCCTCCCAGTTCGCTAGCTGCAATAATCTGGAAACAAGGCAGGACCTGTTCAGGTCACACTCGTTTTCGGTTACAAACCAGGGCATCGAGTTCCAGACTTACCTAGAACTGGACGAACAAAAGGGCGACTATCTCGTGCCTCTCCAATGCACCCTCGATGGTCAGCATGAGGCTCACGAGGTGGCTATACGCCTCATCAAAACAGCGAGGGGCTACGTGAGACACGAAGCACATGAAAAGGCTATAGTCAGACGCCTTTTCCGCCGTCCAGGAGATGTTTCTGGACGGCTTGCCATATGTGTTCAAAAGGCGGTGGATAGCATTCGTCACGATACAATTGCAGACCGCTTCGAACATTCATTTCAGTTCACAACGCGAATCACGCAAGATTCCACCCACGAAGAAGATCGATGGTATCACGAGTTTCGAGCTATTCATCCGACTCGAGGAAAACTAAACAGTTGGGACGTGGATTGCAATCATGGGCTGCCGGCGTACTGGGACCCAAGCACAGCCAGTTTCATGACAGAAGGTAAGCCTTGGTTCATTGGGCTGCTGTTCGTCCAGCTTCGCCGACACCGCGGTGATCATCCATCAGCGATCTCGCTCCTTTGTAGGTTCTATTCAGCAACCAATCAATGGCTCCCCGTTGGTTCCCTGGGTTCTTCCATGGCGCCCCCGTCCATGGATCATAACTGGTTCAAGCAATTCATTCGATATGTATCAGATCCTGAACAGGGCCAACCCTGAAGACACGACTGACTTTGTCGCTTTTGGAGGAGAAATGGCAAGAAAGCATTTGTGGGAAGGGGGGATGTTTGACTCGAAGTTGATCAACGAGGATTGCGCGCTATCAGTCGGCTTATCCCTTGTGAGGATAAGGAAACATAAACAAAACAGCATCCTCGAAATAGGGAGCCCTGTTATCGCAGAATATGAGGTGACCATCGACATCACAGACATGTCACGGGACTCGGAAGATAGCGCCTGAAACAAATACAAGATTAAAGACAGTAGTCTCCAAATTATACAAAATATTCTGTGTATCACGAAGCTCAAAGCTCCTGAACAGGTTACCTACCTGATGTTGTTGTACCCCTAGGGTCAAGCCCAATGAACACTCTTCCTCCTCCCTTTCTTTGGCAGTGCTCCCCCAACTTCAACAACACTCACATACTCCCCAACATTAACCACGACCCCCCTCCTCGCCTTCGACATCCCTGCCGGCAGCCTCTTCACAACCACCTCATGCCTCTCCTCCCCCCTCTCTTCTCGACATTCCCTCCGTTGCCTCCCCTCCTCACGCCCCCTAACAACATGATTTTCCAATCTCCCCTCCCACCTCACCCTCTCAATCTCGTCCCCCGCCTTCTGCAACCTAGCTCTCCAACCCTGCACCCACAACCATGGCAACCTCAACTCGGAGCCCTTCTCCACCTCGCCATTCCCCCTCTGCCTTCGCACCGAAGACGAAGGAGAAAGCACCAAACTCCTCCTCCCCAATCCCTTCTTACCAGCAACAACCTCCACAATATCTTCCTCTCCATCCTCCTCCGTCTCAGCCGCCGTGGTAGCAGTAGTGACAACACTAAGCGGTACACAGCTCGACGGGATCGACGACGCCCACGAAAACCGATGATCCACCGACGAAGAAGAAGAAGAAGAAGAAGAAGAGTCAAGCACATCATCAACCGGGACCTGCGCCTGGACAGAGATGACGTTTAGCCTGTCAAAATTATCCCTCAGCACAATCGGTGCTCGCAGTGGGAAGGTGATTTCGTCTTTCTCTTCTGCTTTCTCATCCTGATCCTCAACCTCAAAAGGTTTCCGCAGTTGTTCAATCCCCGGACTAAGGACTTCGGCCGAGTGTGGTCAATTTAGATCTTCCTTTCCGCCCAACAAGCCACTCCGTTCGTCCAACGCATCATGATCGCCCTCGGTGCCACGAACAGGGGAGTGCCCCGCCTCGGTGTAGGGAGAGTGGTGGTAGTCCCTGTGGTGGTGGTGCTCGTTCGATGACGAAGACCAGGACTTGCCGAAACGACCGGAGAGAGGCCCGCCGGAACCCCAGAGTCCAGAACCGCCCCCGCCGCCTCCCCCTCCGCTGTGACGGTCGGTGCTGATGGGGCGAGAGTGGGACGAGCGGGAGGTGTTGATGTCGGAGGCGTGGGATTGTTGCTCAAATACGTTGCGCATGCGCTGGAAGAGGCTGCCGCCTTTTTGGTCGCCGGATTCGCTGCTGGCGTGGGAGTGCTTGCTTGAGTGAGTGGTATCAAGGGGGGCAACAGGTGGTTGGTCGGGCATGGAAAGGGTGGATTCTCGGTGCCGCCATTTAGCTAATGGGGTGTCCTCGGATTCGTCGCGGTGATTGTCGTACTCGGTGAGATGGGAGTTGTTCCGTGGCCGGCCGGTTTGGTAGCTGGGTGACTGGGTGGAGACAAGGCCACGGATGACTGGGACGTGGGTGTCTGTCATGGTGTGTTGTTCGGGCGATGGAGGCGCAGAATCGATGGTGCTTTGGCTGCGGACGGACTGCGGCGAAGATTGTTGTTTCTCTTGGCTATGGAGATGTGTTGATCGGTGTTCCTGGTAAGCAAGCTCTGTGTCTTGGTCGGGTGTTTGAGGGCGATCAGGATTGTGAATGCTGGCTGAGAGTCCTTGGCTGGCTGTCTGTGAATCTGATGCTAAGGAAGTTTTTACATCGGTTCGCTGTTGCTCAAAGAACTGAAGTCTAGGTGTCTCTTGTCTTTGATCCAGTTCAGCAAAGTAGTCGTCAGCCTCGTTGACCCAGTTGGGGCTTGTCCGGGGATGATCTGGCTCTGGAGTCTCAACTGGTGGGACGGTAGCCGAGACAGCGGGTGTGCCGTCCGAATCTCCCATGGTATTTAGCACCTGGGCCTTAGGCTCAGCTTGACCTGGCACTTCCATTGGTGTCGCGAATGGCGTCTCGTCTGGTACCTGGATGTGAGCCCCAGCCTCAACCTGTGCTGCCATTGGTTCTGGCATTTCGACAGTTGGCCCAACTGGACGGTCGAGGACGGTATCAAGGGGAATATCAGTTGAAGTATGAACTGGAGCATCAGCTGCAACAATAGCTTGAAGCTCAGCAGGTGCCTCAGCAGGTACCTCGGTAGGCGCCTCAGCAACCTCATCCACTGAGGTCTTCACTGCGGCAGCATCCTTTTCAGTGTGCTCTTGATCTTCAGGCTCAGGTCCCATTGCCGCAACGACAGCATCGACAACACCCTCCTCATTGAGATAAGCATCCTCAATGTCACTGACATCGCTTTCCGCATCACCCTCATCATCGTCATCGTCATCGTCATCATCATCATCAAACAGCTCGCCCTCCCCATTCACTGTAGTCGTATACGCAGCGTCCATCTCAACCGACTCATTCGACACTTGACTAGCACGACGCAGCTGGTCGTCCGCAGCCTCTTCGTTCTGCAGCCCGGCCGGCGGTAGAGCAGCGTCACTGACATGCTCTGCCCCAGGAACTAATGACTCCTCGGCCTTCTCCTCCGCTCCTTCCGCTGCTCCCCCTCCCACATAGCCATCGTCTCGAAGTACTCCGAGATGGGCCTGATCACCAGGTTGTCCTCCAGCACCACTGACACCGGGCTCAGCATCTCCCTCTCCGTGTCGACCGACGTCATCCGGGAGCTTCGGTACGTCTCGGTCACGAACAGGCGATCCTCGATCGCCGCCGTCGCCGGTCCGAAAGGGCTGCAGGATGAGGGGGTTAGGCGTGATGGGTTCGGGTTGGGCGTAGTCGTCTTCAAGGTGTGAGCCGTCGTCGTAGGAGGAATGGGTATGGTCACCATGGTCAGAGGAAGATGACAGCGCTGGCACGTCTTCGTCATGACCGAGCTCGCTGCCGTGGTGGGAGTCATGTTCCACAATGGACTTTTCTGCGTGAGCGCTGTCTTCGGTCCCAAGGCCTACAGCTCCATGCTGCTGTGGTTCTGGAGCCACCGTTTCCTCGACGGTAGACTCTAGGACCTCATCCTCGCGGATTACCTGGAGAGATGGGGTGTGTGGGTGTTCATCCAGCTCTTGTTCCTGTGAGACCGGCGCTAGAGCATGACATACGTCTGTTTCATGGTCGGAGACGGCATGTTGATCGTTTTCAACCTCCTCATGCCCGAACTCTTCTCTAGGCGGTTGGTGGGAAGGCACTCGTTGCAGCGGAATGTCAACATCGACATCATCCCCCTCATCTCCCGTGTACGACTCTGAATGGACGAGCGGAGGGCGGTGTGGGTGGTGCCTGTCAGAGACCTCCTCGTGTTGGCAATACTCGGAGGTATCAGTCAAGGAACAAGAGTCGTCCATACCTTCTGGAACTCCAACTGCGGGCGGCTCGTCTGATGTCGTGCGGTACTCAATACTCGGCTGATTGTGGTACGATGAGACGGAGGAAGCGGCGTCCCCGTTGACGGAGAGTTTGGAGCCGTGATGTTCGGGAGTAACACTGGCCTCGGTGAGCTCAAAAGAAGCATTGTGAGTGTTCTCTTGTTCTTCATCGGCAGCAAAAGAGATGTGCTCGCCGGCATGAGACCGCCTATGATCGGAGATAGCAGATGCTAGTCTGACAGGCTGCTCATGCGCCGACTCGAAGGACATATCCCCTGCCGCGTCGAAGGAGTCACCGGTAGCGCTCAATGGCAACGGCACCTCCTCGGGACCGTGTTCGTGTTCGGGCACATTGAGATTCTGTAAAGCCTGAGGTTTTTCACCTTCAACGGTTGTTTCGGTCGGATGGTCGGCCGTAGACAAATCGTACTCGGATGCGCTGTCAGAGACGACACTGGCCGCTTTCGTTACCGCGGCGATAACATCGACAGTTGTTTGGCTCCTTCCACGTGTTGTCTCGTTGGACAAAGCCTGATCCATATCCAACTGCGGCATCGCGGGTGTCTCTTCGGCGGGCTGGGTCACATCGTCGCTCTCCACGGCTTGGCGACTCGCGCCAGGTGTTGCCTGGGAAGAGCTGGGCTGATCGGCATCTTTGACTCCATGTTCAGCTGGCAACTGTGATGGGGCTCCGGTGTCCTCGGCTTCGTTTTGTGAAGATGAGGGGCTTGGAGTCGCTGGATGGTGCAGGGCACGCTCTGCCTCTTCTCTTCTCTTGTTTTCCCACCAGGTTACATCGGGCTTCGGGCTGTCCAAAGGATCAGGTGAATCGGTGTTTCCATTGGGAATACCAATGGGCTCGACAGGAGCACGTGCCGTCTCCTCAAGCTGGTCAGCGTGGATGATGGTCCCAGATCGCGAAATCACCGGCTGGACAAATAGAGGCCGGTCCTGACGAGATGTCGGTCTGCTATCATTGGTGGGGCTGGCTTGCATCTGGCTGTTGGCATCTGTGTTCAGAGTCGACTCTTTGACCATGTCCGCCTGCGGAATGGTCGGCGACTTGTGGGCTGTCTCGGTGATCTCATCGTGTCTGCTCGTAGAAATGTCCTCGGGCTCAAGAGCCTTTGCACCGTCATTATTGAGAGATTCGGGGGCCACAGGCTCCGGTGGCTTACTTGGTGTAGCCACAGCTGGCGGCAGGTTGCTGCCTCGCCTCGATCTCTTGGGTGGAGAAGGGATGATTGGTGCCCTCAGCTGCTCCTCGATGAGGTGGTTGAGCTCCTGTTGGAGAGACAGTTAGCACATGGGGTACACATAATACTCTTGGGTAGGGGTTGCGGACCTTTCTCCGTTCTTCCAGGCCCATCAACTTCTTCTGCCCCTCATCAATGGCCCTCTGAGCTTCCTCCTCAATCTCAATCATAAGGTGGTCCGTTTCCTCTTCCACCTCATTTGTCTCGTGCAGAAGCCTGCCATCCCGTGCTTCATCTTCTTGCTTGTCTCTTTCTGCCAGCTCTTCATCTTCTTGGCGCCTCCGTCTTTCCCGCTCCTCGTCTTCGATCCTGCGGCGCTCGGCGATCTCTTCACGCTGAGCCAGTCTCTTTTGGTGCAGGACCTCGGACTCGGCAGAAAAGGCGGCTAGCAAATGTTTGATGGTATTATCACGCCTGGCTTCCAGCTCGTCAAGCTTCGCATCGTGTTCGGCGGTGTTGAGAGAGGCGAGAGTGGTGTGGATGGTGGACAGTGTATCCTGCATCTGAGCCACCAGTTGGGCAATATCCATGGTGGATTCCATTGTGCCCAGGTATCTTTGTAAGGTAAACTGTAAAAAGGAGAAATCGCCGTCAGGATGCCACAGATGGCGGCCGTGGGTAATGGTAAAGCATGAGAATGGAAGCTGGTGTACCTTTGGGGTATAGCAGCAGCTGGGACGGTGATGCTTATGGTGAGCCTCAGCACCAAGAGGGGCAAAACCGGGAAACTGAAAAGGAATACGGAAGTCCAGGGAAGCCAACAGGTAAACAAAATGCGGGATGATCTTCCACTTGGAGACTCGGATAGGGGCGAGATTCGAGCATCGCCCCCTTTCGTCCCGGGAATGCTGTTCATGCGGTCCTTCGCTCTGTTGACGATTCAAAACGCCGAAAGGCGCCAACGTAACCAGCAACAGCAGATGCGCAATGGCTCAAGCTGGGAAACCCTGTCTCCGGGTTGCCACAACCTCGCCAGACTTCTGGTTGCCACATGGTGCCGTCATTGTTCGAGCAGAGGACTGCAAGGGCTCGTAGGGAAGCATCGGACGACAGCAAGTGCTATGTCTGAAGATAGAGGGTTTGTTGGCCGGACTTTTGATGACTGACAGAAGGAGAGAGAGATGCCAAATTCCCGACGGAATGGGCCAAAAGGACGGGATATGAATCCGAGGTACCAGGTAGGTTGCAACTGGGGACCGACCCGATCTTTCCGTGCCTCTAGGAGGTCGCGATTTCATGGCAGAACCGGGGAGGGGAGAAGGAAAGTTATCCGGTGTCGCAGAGGAAGCCGTATGCTTTTGGACATCTCATGGCGAAATATTGCTGGAAAGCGGGTACCACCAAGACGCGGTGACGCGCTTGAGATTGCTGATGGCGGGGCGTTTGGAGGAGAGTGTTTCACAGTTGTTGGAGCTTCGGGAGCCGTTGCACCGAGGTGGGGTAGGCCCCACTGTTAGCAAACCTTATTTTCTGGCTGAAGCTTACCTGTGGATGGAATGGCCAACAGCAACTATCCGCAAGACGAAGTGATATTACATTGACCAGCAGAACCTCTTTGGATTGCCGTTTCTTAAGGTTTTAAATTGACTCCTGATCTTTACCCATTCCACCCCAGTGCACCCTGCCTTCTCCAAGGCCAAAAGACCCTAACCCCCATATGTAATGCCCCCTTTTTGCCCCTTTTCGAGGAGTCCAATTCTATCTAGTTGATGGCGAGGCTGGCAAACATGGTTCCTCTCGTGACCGGACGCAGCAAGCCACTTTAAATATTGGTGTCGTGGAAGTAGCACAAGGGCTCACATGCATATCAGGTCCCAGCCCGAGGAGAAACATCCCAAAGTCGTACAGGTAGCATCCACATGTCGCCGGTTGACTCGATAATACTCCCGAGTCCTTGACCAGTGATGGGCGGGCCGTTGTGCGGGAGATATGCGTCCCTCCTAGGGGACGTCCAATAAGGCCCCAAGCCGCTCCTCCATTCTGTAATGATCCAGCCCCAGTAGCTATCTGAACCGGGATGTGCGAGTAGAATTGAGACTCGAATGAATATGTGGAATGTATGTTGTCGTAAATAAATGGGTGTGGGCGCCCAGGCTGCGAAAGTCCTTCTGCTCCCAGTGGTAGATTGGTATTCATAGTCTGTGAGAAGACCTCAACCCTCTCTATTTCCCTCGATCGAGACGGTGCATATCCGATACACTGCTTGTATTACGGGCATAATCACAGAGGCTGTAGAGCATCAACACCATGCTTTCACCCACGCAACTTCTCCTCCTCCCTCCAACCCTCCTCCTCTGCCTGGTCATCCGCCGTATCCTCACAAACTTCTTCTTCCACCCCCTCTCCTCCTTCCCAGCACCATTCTACACCCGCCTAACCTCCCTCCCCCTTGCCGTCCTCTCCCTCCTCGGCCGTGAGCCCGAATTCCTCCACAACCTCACCAAGAAATACCCCCCCTCCACCCGCGCCATCCTCATCACCCCCACCCTCCTCTTCTTCCCCCACGCCTCCTCCCTCAAACCCATCTACTGGTCCCCAACCCATAACCACAAGGGCTCCCTCTACGGCACCGGCGCCCTCGGCCCAACCTCGCTCTTCTCCACCATACCCGCCGAAGACCACAAATCCCTCCGCAAATCCCTCGGCGGCGCTCACTGGAGCGTCTCCTACCTCAAAACCTTCCAGGAACCCCGCATCGACAACCTCGTCACCTTCTTCGTCAACCAACTCTCCCTCCTCCCACCCGACCATGAGCCCTTCCAAATGGGGGAGAAGCTCGCCCAGTTCGCCGCCGATGTCATGACCCTCCTCGTGTTTGGCAAACCATGGGGCTTCATCGCCCACGACCGTGACGAGCGCCGGCTTTTATCCGCCTTTCGCGAGTCCCTCCCCATGTTTGCCTTCGCCGCGAGGTGCAACAGCTTCCGGGAGCTGATTCTTTCATCGCCGTGGATAAGGGGCTTGATCATGCCCAAGGTGGATGACAAGACGGGAAGCGGGTATTTGGCCTCACAAGCCAAACTTGCCGTTGCCCAGCGGGAACAAGAACGAGAACAAGGGATCGGGGGGGAGGGGAAAATGAGGGATTACCTCGACTATACCCTTGACGCACGAGATGGGAACGGCGAGCCGTTGACCAGGGCGCAAAAAGAGGCCCACGCCACGCTTTTGATCCAGGCCGGGGCAGACACAACGGGTAGCGGGCTCGGGGCGGTGCTGAGATTGATGCTGGAGCACGGCGAGTGTATGAAAAAGGCAAGAAAGGAGATCGAGGTGGCAGATGAGAAGGGTTTGCTGTCTACGCCGGTGCTGTATGAGGAGACCAAACAGTATCTGCCGTATTTTGTTGCTTGCATCAAGGAGGGACTGAGAGTCAACCCTCCTGCTCCGAATCTGTTCGGCCGCATTATTCTCGAAAAGGGCGGCACCGTCATTGACGGGGTGCATGTTCCTCAAGGAGCAGAGGTGTGCAGCCATCCATACGTCGTGGGTTGTGATCCCGAGTTGTATGGCCCCGACGCCGAGGCTTTCGAGCCCGAGAGGTGGCTTAATGGCAACGAGAAACGTCGAGCCGAGATGGAGGCGGCGAATTTCGTGTTCAGCATGGGACCAAGAGTTTGTCTGGGGAAGGAAATTGCCATGATGGAGATGTACAAGGTTTTGCCCGAGATTGTGAGAAGGTTTGACTTTGAGGTTGTCTCGGCTGGCAAATATGTTGATCGAGGGGGCGTGGCGTGCAACCAAGACTTCATGATGAGAGTGCGGCGTAGGGCTTAGGTTGGAAGTAAACTAAGGGAAGAGAGCTAGAGGTTGCTTGCGGGCATAACCATTACTAAGGAGACGTGGTTCTGCTGCTTTGGGATAATTCTATGTTCAGCTGGTAACAAATGTCACCATAACTCAAGCGCTATGAGGATATGTATGTACAGAAAATATACGGTCTGAGCTGAGCATCTTCAGTCCCATTATATGGCAGTAATAAATACCAAGGTGAGGATGACGAAAGACGAAGAAAAGACAGGCAGAAAAAGACAAAGTGCTGCCCCCAGGGTGTAAGCGAGCAGCTGGTATCAAGGAGAGTGGGAAACGATGGCTTAAAAACGAGCCATGGTCCCCTTCTGTGTCTTCGCCACCATCCTTCTGTGAGACTCCCGGAAGTTGTACCGCGCATAAGTGCCCATGCCATAGGCAGCCACACCAATGACCAGCCAAATGCTCGTGATGATAAGACCGATGGGGAAAATCAGCAGCTGCACACCGGGAAGGACAAAAGCGGTGGTGCCGTTCTTGAGACGAGCAACTTCTTCCTCCACAGCAAGTTCGGCTAGGCGGAAGGTACTCATGACGACCTCTTGCGAAAAGACACCAGAAACGAAGGCGGCCTCGTTCACTGACACGTTGGTGGCCACCGTCTGGCCGTCTGCGTTGACGGCGGACAACGTGACGATGGGCATGACTAGAGCTTGCAGCTGGGCCCTTTTGGCAGAGTCAGCATCGGGCACATCGCAAAGGTGACAAGAGCTTTGGTGCTTGCTTACATGGGAATCTCCTCCCCTCCCATTGCATCATTGTTGATCCGACCAACAAACAGGAACGACCGGAGTAGCCGCAGCCTCCCTTCCTCGGCTGGTTCTGGGCCTTGTCGAGCAGCGCCTCCCTCCTTCTCGGCGACCGACGCGCCGTTGTAACTCAGTGCAACGTTGATCTGCTCCTGCGGAATGCCCTGAAAGTCACCGGTTGGTGGGCTAATTTGGAAAAGCCTCAGGTCGGCTTCGAAGGTGCCTGTGACGTTGTTGAGGACGGGGAGGTTGTAACAGATGCAGGCGCCTGATGGGTTCGAGGCCACGTTGAGAGTTTCGAGCGAGTCTCTGCAAGCTTGGTTGACTTCCTCATTCCACCTCTCCATGTCGACGGTCCCGTCAGGATTCACGGGTGTGTTGCTGCCAATGCCCGTTGACAGTCCCGGTGCTTGCCTGATCTCCATGTATCCTCTTGACAAGATGTTTGCCTTTGCGATTTCTTGTAACCTCCTCTCGACGGATGGACTCCCCCTCATCATGCCCTCGGCCACCATGTCGCCAATTCCAGCCTGGGCCCCCATCGCCAGGAGCGAAGCCACCAATGTCCTATGCCAAATCATTGTCGGTTTGTGTGTTGGTCGTCCCAGTATTATTATTGCTTCGTGCGTGTGTTTGTCCGGCGTCGAGTCGGATCGGGGTATTCGTCGATAGAATTGTAAATTAGTGTTAAAGAGAGTGGGTGAACAGAAAGCGGGACCGGCCCAGTCAAGGCAAGGAAGTCACAGTGGATGGCTCCTAACCAAGTCCAAAGATCATCACCAAAAGAGAGTGTAGGTGAGGAAACAGAAGGGAAAAGGAGAAGAAGCGAAAAACTGCCAGAGGCTAGGCAGGGGCGAGAACAAGGGATTAAACGACGGGTAGCAGGGGAGCAGAAACGACAGAAGGCCCAAGTGGGTATCAAAATGCAACGTAGATCAAGATCCGCCAGGATCTTCCAGAATGACCTGAGCTGTGGGCTGTTGAGCTAAGGGAATGACTATAAAAATAAAAATAAAAGAACGACAGAGATACGGAGTACAGACAAAAGCTAGAACTGGAAGGAGACATGGCAAGCCGGGTGCTTGCAGATTATCAGGGGCAGGGAGGTGTGTACAGCTTGGTAGGAAGAGGCATATCGAGTTGCTGGCACTGCTGGCACATGGTGCCATGTTGAGGCTCTCTTGGGAAAGGGGTGGGCGCGACGCCTGTGCGATTCGTGTCGGATCGACGTGGATGGAACCATGTCTGTCGGAGGTGGTCGAGGAGGTCTGCGAATTCGAGACGCCAGGCCCAGGGTGTGCGGCACCGCCTGTTCCACATCGCCCCGCCATCGGGCCACGCACGGGCCCCGACCAGGTCTGGGGTAGGGCAAGCGACAAGTAGCTGTGCCATATCAAGTCGACATTGGACGGCCACCGGGTGTGCGATGAATATTAAAACGACCGAATTCCAGTCTTTGTCGACCTGTTGATGGTTGTCAGTCGCACGAGTGGAAGAGGTCGGTTTGTTGAACTCGAGGACCAGCTTCCAGGTTGAAATTGTACCGTTTCTCTCAAGGGGACTTCCCTACCAACCGTCAGCTTTGGCCCGACGTTTTCTGCGACATGAGACAGCCAGGGGCACTAGCCACAGCCAGGGTCTGGTCCCCCCGCAACCGATTGGTCCACAATCTTCAAGCCACAGCGCTCACGAGATCATGAAACAGACAATGTGTTTGTTTGTCTTTGACACTTGGAAACTCGACGGCGGGTTGCGTTTTCTCTTGTTGCCATTGTTTAACCTTGGAGTTTGGTGATTGGTGGGCAGACAGGCGTTTTTACGCGCCAAATCCCGCCAGGTGAGACATTCCAACCAATGGGCAAGCTTTGCGTTCTGCACTTTTCCGCCACGAGCCGCGGTCGCATTCTCTTGACCGACAGTGCCGCCGGGCGCTAAAGCAGCCTTTTAGTTGACCAACGTTTACATATATACTTGTATCAAAAATTCAACGGCCACTAGATTTGAACATGGTTTAATTTTTAAAAACTTAATCAGGTTTATTATATTAGGAACCCAAGTCCTCTTTTTTTATCGTCAACATCTTGAAGGGGTTCAACTCGACTGATGAGCGTCTCAAAGTCTTCAAACTCTCTCTCAACCGTCAAGTGTGTGGGCAGATTAACCGGGGTGCACAGTTGCCAATCACCGGATACCTTATGTTCCTCAAAGAGACGACCTCCACGACAAAATGTTCCATAACCGGGCGTAGCTGTTTTGGTTTCCCGGTCAACACCCACCTCCCACCCTCCCCACAAAACGATTGGCACATGAAAGTAAGGTAGGTAAACCATATCATATTATGGATCATACCTCGAAGGATAATGATTAGGCCGTTAAAGATAGTTAATGGGCCTTTCAAAGTGTTTAAAAGGCCTATTGGTTTACTTGTGAGGCGTGGTTTACAATATGATATAAGTTAACCTCCTTTTGCTGTGCCAACTATTTTATAAGGAGGGTGTCCCCTTGCGCCCCTGACTACCTTACCTTACTTGCTTCTGTTATCTAAGCAACCTGGTCAATCAATGAGGCCCAAAGGAACTTAACACCACAATCGGCCATGCCAGGGGGTAATCCGCCTAAATGCTGAGAGGTCACTTCGTACATGTACCTTCAAAGGGTTTGATCCCGCAAATTATCAAAAAAATCCCCGGTGGTCTGCGGAGAGAGAATGCCCTTGTTGATTCATCCAGATTGGACACCAATCTAGAGGCTGTCATCAACATGCCCACATCCCGTTACTGACCCCTCCGCATGCAAGCCATTGTGGTACAAGAGTCTTGTCGAACCTCCGGGATTATCCTCGGCAATCGAACATGTAATAAGATTTGTATGTCTGGTCGGGAGCCGCTGGCCTCAATGGTAGATATTCATGTTCAGTTGGAGCAGCAACCTCAGTACCTAGGTACCTACCTAGCATTTCATTATGGGTGGCTGACTTAATAAGTAGGGGGTGCTTGTTGAAGATCACTCACATCTGTTTTGAAATTGCTTGCATTCTTGTTGGAAAATTGACAGCCTGGGGAATTGTACCTGGCAGTTAGAGACGCAGTAATATAAGAGGGCGGCCAAGAATGGAAGCACCCTGTCACTCCGTAACTTTGCCCGGCAAATTGGTCATATTCATTAAGGTGCCCATTAGGTAGGTATTGACTCCCTGCAGATCAGCAGGTATGTCTGAGCCCAGCATACAGCCTTCCCCATGATGCAGCATCACCGGGAAGCAACGCAATGACCGAATCTGGTCTTGATGAACAATCTAAGAGACGAGGTCTAGTTTTGTACTGCCGATGGGCTGCCGAGATCTCATCATCTCCTTACGTCGTCACCGCTGAAAACAGAGCTGGGGACAGCTCATGATGGGGTACCTCGGTTAAATCAATATCATATAAAAGTGCGTAACTATTGGATTCCAGGGCCTCTCCGTTTAAGTCGGCGGCAAAGCCACGAACGTGCTTAACGCTACGGACCGCCCGGTAACGTGGTAGCGGGGGAAGGGAAGTGCAAGGCAATATGATCAGCGCGGGGAAGAGTCGGGGTTAGGTACATGTAGGACAGTCTGTATATATAAGGTGTATATGCTTCCTCCCTTTTCCACCAGCCAGAGCATCAACAACAAGGCACAAAGACACTTCCGCCAGACACGATCGCCATCATGAAGCTCTTCAGCCAGATGACGGCTGCTCTCACAGCCGGCTTCGCCCTGTTTGGGGCGGACAGCGTCATGGCCCAGAGTCTCACACGCGTCAACAACTTCGGGTCCAATCCTTCAAATGCGAAGATGTTCATTTATGTCCCCAGGAACCTCGCGGCGAAGCCTCCTATCATTGTGGCTATTCACTACTGCACTGGTACTGCTCAGGCTTACTTCAGTGGCAGCCCATACAGACAGCTCGCTGATCAGAAGGGCTTTATTGTCATTTACCCTGAATCACCCTATTCGGGGACTTGCTGGGATGGTAGGTTTTTTTTCGATTGAGCTGTTGACGAAAGTAAAAAAAAAAGATGAAAAAAAGAAAAAGAAAAAGAAAAAAAGGAAAAAAAAAGGGGAAAGATAACCAAGAGAAAAGAACCAAAGAGAAAGAAAAGAAAACTCGGATCGTCCAGAACTCAAACTTGTGACCTCAAATGGACGCATTTTACTAACAAGAGCATAGTTTCTTCACGCGCCACCCTTACCCATGACGGCGGTGGTAACAGCAACGCCATCGCCAACATGGTTAAGTACACGCTTCAGCAGTACAACGGCGACCCCACCAAGGTGTTTGTGACCGGCACCTCTTCTGGTGGCATGATGACGGTCAGTTACCTATTACCTGAGTTGACTCGTGTTTGTCTAATCATGGGCCAAAACAGAACGTCATGGCTGCTACCTACCCCGACCTTTTTGCTGCAGGCATCGTCTACTCCGGCACCGCCGCTGGCTGCTTCTATTCCCAGTCTGGTGGCACCAACGCCTGGAACAGCTCCTGTGCTCAAGGCCAAGTTCGTTCGACACCGCAGGTTTGGGCAAAGATGGTCTTTGATGCCTACCCAGGATATGAAGGACCCCGACCCAAGATGCAGATCTACCACGGCTCTGCCGACACAACTCTCCACGCGAACAACTACAACGAGACGATTAAGCAATGGGCAGGTGTATTCGGCCTGGATCCCGCGAAGCCAGATGTCACCCAGGCGAACACCCCCCAGAGCCGGTACACCACGTATTCGTGGGACAACGGAAAGTTGATTGGCGTGTACGCCCAAGGCGTCGGGCACAGTGTAAATATGAGGGGAGCAGATGACATGAAGTTCTTTGGTCTTTGAAGAGAGATGGGTTCGGGGTGGTGTTGAGCTCTCGAAAGTCGGAAAAGGGGGGAGGGAGGCATGATCGCGACATTTGGGGGTTAGGGTTATATTCGGACCTGCGCTCGCGCATCGACCATATCACCTGGGCATGTTTAAGGTAGTTAGCAAAGCGAGAACATCCAATCCTAGTAATCCTCAGAAAAGACCAAAAGGCTCTTCTCGTCCGAAGAGATGACCATTACTTACCTGTGTGCGCCGGTGGGACGCGGACGCAAGTTCCAGACCTGGAGACCGAGCAGGGACAAAATGGAAACCAGCGACGAAGCCGGAGACCGGATCCTGGGCCGGGCTGGAGCGAGCATCAGGACTGAGCACTGGGCCAGGACAACTTCCGGGTTGACCGACCACGGGGCGGGGGTGCCATTGAGATTTGAGATGGGAGCAGTGCCGGGGGCTGCGGGGCCGGGAGTGGGGAGTCGGACGGTGGCAGTAAGGTACCTAGCGGCGCAGTGGGGCAGAGTGGTACCCGAACTAGCTGGAGCAGCCCCGCGCAGGTGCAGTGCCTGGCGGCGGGGAGCAAACCCCACCTACCTGAGCCCAGAACAACCTCACCTTGACGGGAGTGGTATTCCAGTGCATTTCTTCGTTCCTTAGGGGTTGTGATTAAACAACCTGACGCTCATTACAACACTTCCCGCAATTGACCAGCCGAGCCTCCATGTCTCCTGTCAATTGTTTGATGGTACCGTAATCATGCTGCCTGAAGATTGGCCCCCAACTACAATCGCAACCTCTCCCTCAAACTGCCGAGATTTATGCTCGAATTTGTTTGCGCCAATTCTAATTATGACATCTGGTTGAGGTGTGCAGCTTCGCCCCCGGACCTGGAGGGTGTTATCCCAAGTTTCACATTCTCTGCTGACTGTGCCATTATCAATTACAAGATTTTTGCAGTCTGTTAGGTGTTTGATTGGGCCGACTGGGTCGATCGCTGCCTCGCAAGATGCAAGTTATATGTCGACACTGCCATGGTGAGCCTGGTCGCTTTTGGTCGCCCGTGTGGCTCCCGAGGTTGAGACCAGTGGGCCGGCAAACAAGCACAATTTGCGGGAGGTGAGAGGTCAGGTATGGGGAGTCTCGGTGAGGGGAGCTATTGTTAATAAGGGGTTGGTTGTCCGTCGAGGATGTTGGTTCCAATTTTGGATCATCCACCTCAGGTGTCACTCGATGGGACCACGACAAGCAAGACACACACACTTGGCACCTATTTATATTGCAGATCCAGGATACGCACATCCAAGCCTTTATAAATCGGGGTGACCGGCCATGCCTCTGGCAAGACGGAAACATGACGGTGACACTGGACACAACCGATATGACAACCGGCGACCTCAGGGGTCCAACCGTGTCCACGCAACCGATCAGTCAAACAATGGCGTGTTTGGATTCTTCATAAACAAGGCTGAGGACAAGGCTGATGAGGGAAGGAAAAGAATCGAAGAGGAAAGGAAGAAAATCGAAGAGGAGAGAGAACGAACCCGGAAAGAAGACCTGAAGAACCAGGAACAAGATGCTCAGAGAAATGGCAGAAAACAGACATCGCCCACAGCAAACGAAAAGCGGTCTTCCACAGCCCCGGCAGCTACAAATACGCCAACGGCTGTGTTAACGAAGCTACCTCAGGAAGCCAACACTAGGTCAGCTATAAAACAAATACCAACCACGACATCCCAAGCCCAAGAAAACCCAAATACTCAGATTGTGGTAGATGGTTTTGAAACAGGCACCAACGGCGTCCCTTCTTCCAGCATCATCACCTCTTACACAACTCAAGGGACAAATGCACCTGGTATGTACATTTCTCTGATGATGAGCTTGGGTACCTGTTCTAAAATATTTAGAACCCCCCGTCGCGCCTGACCTCACAATCCCGACGGCTGCACCGATACACACCCTCAACGCTGGCCAGATAGCTGCAATTGTCATTAGCTCGGTTGGTCCGTAAGCCGCTATCCCATTTCGCTGGTATCGATCGCTAACATCTCTTTAGGCCTTGCCATCATCCTCCTCAGCGCTGTTTTTCTCCTCCTTCGCTTCCGCCGCCATCAACAGAACCCCGGGGCCTCAGCCCACTCTCTTTCCAATCCAGACCTTCCCCCACAGAACCACCACCACCATCCTTACAGCCAACTACTCTCCGCTCCTCTCCCACCTGAGACCACCAACGCCCTCCCCGAGGTATCTAAACCGCGCCCCACAATCTCCCGCTGGCTGTCCCAAGTCCGGGCTGAATCACACCCTCACCTCCCTAATCACCCTCCTTCCATCAGCCTCCCCTCCTTCTCTTCCCACTCAGGCAGCCAGGCAAGAGCGCGCGGACAACCAGACATGGTCTCGGATATATCCTCTCAAATATCGGGCTTTACACACCCAACAGTTACTGTGAGCAGTGGAGGGAGAAGTTTCCGACCGCCTACGCAGCTGAGACCACCGACGGGGTCGTCAATGGGAAGCTCAGGAAGGGATATGAAGGGGATGAAGCCTGTGCATCCCAGTATATATATTTCTCCTGCTACAGCGTCCAATAGTACGGGGAGCGTCAATAGTCAGGGGTTGTTGGGAGGGTTTCCGCTGCCGCCGGGACGGTTGATGGAGGAGATTCAAGTTGGTGGGGAGGAGGTGGTTTCGCCTGTGAGTTTAGGTTTTGGTACGGGTCTGGGGACGGGGGTGGGAAACGGGGCGAGGTTGTCGGGGTTGGGGGTGGGAAGGGGTTATGAGGAGGCAGATGAGTATAGTGAGGATCGGAGGGGGAGTTGGGAGGTGGATGAGAGGTTGGGGGTGTTGGAGGGGAATAGGGGGTCTGTTTAACTGATTGGGACTTATGTTGTGTATAAAGTAACAATGAGCATCAACACAACTTTGCCTTTTATGCTTGCCACTGCCAGTTGACTTGTCCAACTGGTGGTACCTTCCGATCCACGATGGGAGAGTGCCGATAAGTCGGAACCGGTGAATACCGACCTTCCGGCCACTGCCTGGTGAAACTTCACTGAGTGGCCTGTTCAGAAGGACCCTCTGGCTTTGGATGGGAAGGAGTCCCTTCAAAGTGACGAGCCATCGTTCGATTGGCATCCCGTCATCTTGTCGGCACCTTCCTGCGAAAAGAAGTGGTCGCCCACCACGCTTGAATAACAGCATTATCCATCGTCTCTCTCTCTCTCTCTATTCTCCTCGACTCTTCACTCTCTCCCCATCTTCCACTTCGACGCAACTCACATTTCTGGTCGACCATCTTCCCACTGCCCTTTCTGAAAAGTATTGTTACAGCACCGCTTCGTCACTCCTCCTCCGCTCACCCCCATCATGACCTGCCGCATCGCGCTGCTTTTCGGGGCCCTATTCTTCGCTCTCCCAAGCACAGCCAGGAACACTGAGCTCAGGAAAACCACTTCAAGAGTCCCGCCCGTTCTCGCGCCCAATTGCCGTTATGTTCAGATACCACTCGGAAACATCTCGGCTGACAACGTCGACTTCCGACGAACAAGGAGAAATGTCGACTTCAATTCTCCAAAAGACGTGACCAAATTCTTCTCCTCTTGCCTTGACCCTCAGATGTACGAGGATCCTGATGACAACACCACGAAACTCATTGTGGAGAGGAACGTTACCATCCACGGCATCCTTTGCCGACCAGAAAGGCCAGTCGCTGCGCAAGATCGCCGGATTCATCTAATGGTCCACGACGCGACATATGACAAATCTATGTGGCATGGGCTCGGTATACTAGAGTACAGTTTGGCAGATGCCCTGGCGTCTGGTCTCGGTGGTTCCTACACCCTAGCCATTGACCTCTGGGGTCATGGAGACAGCCATGGCCCAACATACCCCGGTACCTATGACATCCTCCTCTTTGTTATGCTCTTATTCCACGTTGTTTTACTGACCAAGATGTCGACAGACCCTTGGCAGGTACTCCAACCCCCGTTCCACGTCGAGGTCTTGCATGAGCTCGCCGTCCGACTGCGCACAAACCAGCATGGCCTCTGGATGGCCTTCAAGAACGTAACATATGTTGGACATGGCTTTGGTGCCCAGCTCGGCAGTTATCTCATCGAGGATTTTCCCAATGACGTCGATGCATTTGTTGGAACCGGACTCCCCACGGGCTCAAAGATGACGCCCCGCCCGAGTGAATGGATGTTTGCGCCAGCACACTCTACAGATCCGAAATACCAGGACCAGCCGCTAGGCTACTTTACTGGGGCAGTGACTTCTTTCCTTGACCGAAGGAACATTCTGTACGGGGGCATCTACGATGACGACTTGGCTGTACTGGACTTTCTCAGTCAAGATACCATTACTGGCGGCGAAGCCTGCTGGAGCGGATCTTACCTTTCGAGCGAATGGCTCGGTTCAGCCTTCAGCTTCAAGGGCCAGGCATGCATCGTCGCTGGAGAATACGACAGAATTGCGTGCGCCGATGGGCCTGAGTGCAAGGAGAGATTACGGGGCGTCTGCAGTAAGGTATTTCCCGATGCTAGCTCATGCAAGAGCAATGTTCTGGGAAGCACAGGCCATGCCTGGATGCTGCACAGGATTGGTGTCAAGCTGGCAAACTCGGTTCGCAGCGCCTCGGCACTTGGAGGCTCTTGGGGAAATTTGTGCTCGGTGATTAGCTGAACAAGTCATGATGGAATCGGGTTTGGGTGTTTGATAGAGTTGTTGGTCGGCAGCAGACATCAATAATAATCCTAGTCGTTTACTTACACCAACCAACCCCAACCCTCTGTGAACATGGCCCACGCAGTGTAAATCCAAAGAGCGAGACTTGACGGAGAAATGGCGTCATTGAAGCCAAGCTAGAGCAGCAAGAATGACCAGACCGTGTGCCGTGACATGTTTGACATGTTTATTTTTCGGGCTGGTAGGAACGTGATGATGATCAATGCTTGGTGTTTATATCGTGGTTGCCCGCTTTACACAGGCTTGTCCAGCTCTGATGCCGCAAGTACCGACCCAACCGGATGACGATATGCGGAAATGCAACAGGCCGGTTGACGATGTCATTACCCGCCTTCACGCCCGTTCTCCCTGCAGTAGTGACGCGCCAAGCCCGCCCGCCGTTTTCGGAACCGTCCCGACCGCAAACACAACAGCAGGTCAACGGGTAAGGAGCATGACCCAGAACAAAAACCGGCGAAATTCATGTTCTTCACTTCCTATGATGACCTGCATGTCTGAGGTGAGACAACTATGTCTCGGGATGAGTTGATGATGAAGCCTGCGCTGGAGTCACCACCACTGCCGTCGTCAACACCACCACCACCACCACCGCCGCCGCCGACAGGAGAGAAGAAACTTGAGAATGGGAACAGCAGCACCACCAGCGAGAACGATGATGATTTGGAAGAAGTTGATCTAGGGGTGGAACGAGGGGTAGGCCAAGAAAAGTGGAAAAGGCTTCTTTTGTGGCAGCCGCCGCGTACGAGGTGGGATGAGAGGAATCCGCCGAGGTTTACGGTTTGGATCAATTTGCTGTTTGGATTTGTGAGTTGCCCTTCAATTGGTCGCTGTGTTGTCATCCCCCCCACCCACCTTACTGACTTTTTTTTTTCCGTCTAGGCCGCCTGCTTCACCGTCTCGAATCTGTACTACAACCAGGCCATCCTCAACCGGATCGCGGAGTCGTTTTCCGTCTCGTTTGAGAGGGCATCTGTGGTTGCAACGCTCATGCAGGCTGGGTATGCGAGTGGGCTGTTGTTGATTTGTCCGCTGGGGGATGTCTTCCCCCGGAGGCCGTTTATCCTCTGCTTGGTTTTGTTGACGGCGCTGCTGTGGATTATCCTGTGTACGACGCAATCTTTTACGGTTTTTATTGTCGTGAGCTATATCTGCGGGGCGACGACTGTTACGCCGCAGCTGATGCTGCCTTTGGTGGGGGATCTGGCGCCAAAGGAGAGGAGGGCGAGTTGCCTGGCGGTTGTAGTTTCTGGCTTGGGGCTGGGGGTGTTGGTGGCGAGGATATTGGGCGGGGTGATGGCGAATTATACCGAGTGGAGGGGTATATACTGGTTTGGGTTGGGGGTTCAGTTTGTTGTTTGGATGGGGTTGTATTTTTGGATGCCGGATTACCCTTCCAAGAACCCGACTGCATTGAAGGGGGTGACGGGGTATGGGAAGTTGCTGTGGGGGATTGTGGTGTTGATGGTGACGGAGCCGTTGCTTTGCCAGGCGAGCATTGTGGCTTTTTGTCTCAGTGCCGTCTTTACGAGCTACTGGACAACTCTAAGCTTCCTGCTCAGCCGGCCGCCGTATGAGTACAGCTCGATGGTTATTGGACTCTTTGGGTTGATTGGGGTGGCGGTTATCTTGTTGGCGCCTGTTTACTCGCGGTTCGTCATAGATAAGGTAATGCCGTTGGTATCAGCCCTGATGGGGCTTGGGTTAGAGCTGGCTGGGGTGATCGTGGGTACTTTTACCGGAGGGTTTACGGTGGCAGGACCGGTGATTCAGGCAATAACAATCGATCTGGGGAGTCAGTTTACGCAAATTGGGAACAGGGCGGCGATATACAGTCTGAGACCAGACGCACAGAATCGTGTGAATACGGCATACATGGTTGCGGCGTTTTCTGGGCAGCTGACGGGAACAGCAGTGGGTAATCGTCTTTTTGCGCAGGGTGGTTGGACTTGGAGTGGAAGTTGCAGCAGTGAGTTCCGCCCTTTCCCTCATCACAAAAGCGTTGAGAGATCGGTACTGATCTGAAAGCGCACAGTTGGGCTATTGGTGTTCGCCATTCTGGTGTGCCTTGCCCGAGGCCCGAAAGAAACTGGATGGGTTGGTTGGTCAGGTGGGTGGATGATTGGAAGAGACGATCTGCCAGTAAAGAACTCGAAGAATCCTCCAGACGAAGAGGCTGTATTGCACAAAGAGGATTCGGATGGCAGGAAGGGTAGACAACAAATGTAAACTAGGTACCTGATACTTTTTCATTATTCTGAAGCGCAATTCGAAACAGCAGCAACCGTTAACTACGGACAACACAGCAGAATTACGGTGTCCTACCATCATTTCCATGGCTGGACCTTGATCTCTGGAGAAGCCTCCCCAACCAGTGTCTCAAAATACTCCTGAAACCACTCTCCTCTTTCTGGAGATGGCTCGTGAGCATCGACTCCCCCGCAGTACTTTTGATATACATCAATTGGAGAACTGTTGCTTCCATCCGAGAATCCTGGTGCTTTAGCCCAGATGAAAGCATCCAACTGCTGCCCAGGCTGCGGATTCGGGCCCGGGAACCGACCCAGAAAACCCAAAAACCCTAACACAAGAAAAAGCCAGCGCGCAAGCGCCCAACAAAATACCACCAAGACAGTTCTAAAAGATATTAGATTCTAAATCAAACTCAAAGACACAGCTCAAAAAATAAATAAACGTTATTACTTGCGAAGAAGGTGACGACGCTGGCGAGATACTTTTTAAGAACCAGATGGTAGGACTTTGACTCTGCGGGTAGATGAAACAAAATATCGTTACTTACAGCAGCGAAGGCAGGGCGGTGCGAGAGCCAGGGCGACCGGAGGGGCGACAGGGGCCGGGGCAAGAACAGCGGCCAGATCGGGGAAGGTGCCGGGAAAAGTCCCAGGGAGGGGCAGTTGCGGGGGCCGGGGAGGGTGGCGGCGCGGCCGGGTGAGTGCATCGTTTGGCTACTCCTGGGTCAGGCAGGGCTCGCTGCTTTTGAGACTGCTAGGACTGAGATTGATCGGTATGGACACCGAATGGACACCTTTTTCGAGAGAGTGGCACAAGAAACGGAGATATTCCACTGCTGAAGAAAGGTGTTCAGGGATGGATACACCAGTTGAAGGAGCACCCATACCGACGGTATGTGCCTGAACTTCCGTCTTCAATCTTGGGTACATGCCGAGTATCACTCACCAACTAGGCACCAACCACAGGAGGCATCGTAGAGGGGAAATGGTAAAAGGGGGGGGATATGGTCGAGAAGCTGGTGTGTTGATAAGTACCGAACAGTCCTGTTGCAGAGAAGCTGAATACTGAAGCGCTCAGTGAAATCCATTCTGGATCTATTTGTCCAAGCAAGATGCCTGTCTCTTCCATCTCACTCTGTGATTAGCACAGCCATAAACTTGTCCATCTGCACATACGCACCAGACTAAAACGCCATTAGTTATCCTTCAAGGCCTACTAACTATCTTTTAAGGCCTATATACTATCTTTTAAAACCTACTAACGTGCATGATAAGCGAGCCGAACAGACAAGCGAGCCGAACACTTTGCACCACCCCACTACAACTATCTTCAATTACACAACCACAATACTAGGAAACCACAATAATTGAACCAGAAACAGATGAATCAGATGATTCTGCAGCCTCCTTGCAGGTGCGTGCATTATGGCCTGGCTTACCGCACACGCCACAGCACTGAATCTTCGGACGAGACCCACTTGCACCACCACCACTTTGTCGATCTTCCTGGATTACCTGCTCACCTACAGCCTTCTGATCCAGTAGATCCTGTGCCTCTTGTATAGTAAGTGACCCTCCAAGCCTCACACGTGTTTTTTTGGCTCTCCGGCGTTTACTTAGTACTTCATTAGCCTTACGGAGCGAAGAGACCTCTGCACGAAGGAGAGCCACTGTCACAGTTAACCCAACAGCAGGCCGCGCCACATGTGGGGCGCAGGACGTCCCTAGCCAATCATTAGAGAAGTCAGGAGACAGCCAATCAGGGCTGGACGAAAGTGCTATGGCGCCAAGACACACGAGCACTCTGCAGGATGCAAGATGCTACGAGTGATCAGAGGCATAGCACGACGAGCACTTTGCAGGATGCAATGTGCTATGGGTAATCGGGGCCGTAGCAGGGCGAGCACCTCAGGGCCCCAGGATCTATATATACGGAGGAACTGGCAGGTGTAGATAGACAGTTCCGCAGTATGCAATTCACAGTTGTATTCACGGCATCTTGTGTTTACATCGAGACATCTTGTTGTGCACTGTTTAGCTGCACCGAACCAATTGTCAGAAGTTACCTTCAACCAGTATCCCTTTCAGAGGTTCTGTACAGGGGTTCGTCACAGCAGGCCGTGGTAGCCAATCAAGGAGAATGTAACGGCGGGACTGCGGGGTGATGGACGCTCACTTCTTGGCAAGGTGAGCCGGATCACCACCGCTCACCAGTGAGCCAAGGTGAACCAGGTACGGAGGTACCTGGAGGATGGAAGTCTATATATACGGAGGAACTGGCCAGGTTAGATAGACAGTTCCGCAGTATGCAATTCAAGTCACAGTTGTTGGTATTAAGACTATTGTGATTGAGACAAGCCATTGTTGTACACTGTCTAGCTGTACCGAACCAAGATTGTTCAGAAGTGCCTTCAACCAGTATCCCTTTCAGAGGTTCTGGATAGGGGTTTATCACACTTTAAGATCGAGGATAAGCTTCGCCTAGTATTTACTAACGAAGTCGGACGCTATAGTTTTTAATTACTAACGGGTAAAAAAGTCTTCATTTACTTTAACAGGTAAAGAGGATTTCCTAACTTACCTTTACGGATAAAGAAGGCTTCATAATTACCTCCACGGGTAGAAAGGGATTTAATTACCCTTACAGATAGAGAGGACTTCATTAGGCACGTTAATAGCTAACCTAAGCTCTAGTAACGGCTACTAGTACGGTTTAACTGTCTATACGGATAGTAAAAGTCGGTACGGGTCGATTATTTTAGCTCGCCTATGATTTCTAGAACGGTTTAGAGGGGTAGGTCGAGGCGTATAGTCGACTTAAACGAAATTTGGCCGGCGCGATTAGTGGCGCATGGAAAAGCGTTATTTTCGGTGGGAAAATCAATTAATTCGATGTAATATCGATCGATTCGAGCGAGGTAAGGATTATAACCTGTTGGTAATAAACTGTTGATTGTAATAACTATAGAAAAGAGAACTGAGAAATCCTGCAGACCCAAACAAACCAGCCCAGTTGTGGCTACCCACGCAACACCCTGCGTAGATTAGATTTCGCTTGAAGTCGCCCAGGTTGGCTAGCAGAGTGATTGGTTATCGGAGCATGCACGGAACTCAGCCACCTCACCCGGAGGAGCACCACCTACAGAGCACGGAAAACATGCCGTCCAAAACATTTGGAGCCTGCCCATTTCTAACACCTGGGCAGTCAGTTCACACTTCACACGGTAATGATTTGAACCTGAGGAAAGTTCAACCATAAGGAAATATCGATAAGATACGCCTCGGCGCTTTATGGAATGCCTGAGCTGCATTCCAACCACTCGACGCGACGCCCGGAATGCCAGGGCAAGAGAGGCGAGATAGTGCGGGGTCAGATGCATGTCCAACACATGAACCGACGCTGAACCACATGAACTGCGTTCGGTGGGCCAAAACAGTGGACGGAACATACAACTTGGTTTCCTAGAGTTCCACTGCCCGGAAAGCAGCAGCTTCGGTGGAGCGGTGTGAGACTCAGCTTGAGGACTGGCTACCTTATGTGACACAACGTGATCTTGAGTTGGGCTTTTCTCCCCCATCTTCCTGTGCTCTCCTTCATTATCCTCTGCCCTCTCTGCCGAAAGTTCACAGTCGCTGCCGGTATCATCTTCAGACTGCAGTTCCGGTTCCATTGTCTAGTGGAAAGTTTTGCCCCTTTCGAGGGCGAAGCGACCAGAAGGATTTTCGACTGTAGTTGGTTCCTTTACCTGAAGGTTCTGGTGGTCGTTTGGGGTGGTGTTGTCGGCGATCTTCCGTCTTGACGCGCGGTTAGCCTTTTGCTTCCACAGGAGCTCTTTGGAAATAGCAAGCACTTTAGCACTGGAATTGGGCTTGTTGATTGCTTTGGAACCAATCTCACTTTCTCTCCAGTGCCTGTCGCCGTAGAGGGAATCCTTACGTTGCCACTTGGTCCACACTTTCTCCAATTCGGTAGCCAACATTGCCGAGTTGATCCTTTTCTGGTGGTTTGCTTCGAGCATGTCGTGCTCGATGATCTCCAACAGATCATATACAACTTCCACGCAGTCTTTGTGCTGCTTCAGGTCCCAGATCCAACGCTTGACGCCCTCCTTGAGCCACACGGAATCCTTGGACTGTGACACGTTGTAAAAGGTATCTGTCTGGAAACCGTACACAGGATCTGTCTCGAGTCTGGCGTCTATAAACTTGTCCAAGGCCTCGAAGTCCATCAGAAGCCACGTAATGTGTTCTAAATAAACGCATCCGAGACTGAAGATGTCGGTCTTGAGAGATACCACATCCTCTTTGCCAAACTCAGGTGCTTGATAAGAAATCGTGGCCATTCTCTCCCCCCTGCTGGCTGGCTTGATCTGGATCCTTTGCGGTGAAATCTAGCCATACCAAAGTCACCTAAAACCAACCTGCCCAGACCGCCGGGTTGAGAGTCCTCAAAGAACAGGAAGTTCGATGGTTTGATGTCTCCATGCCGGCAAAAGACGTTGGAATCAGTTCTCTTTGACGTGATCATCAGCGACCTTTCATTGTGGACGCACTGCAGGGCCTTGGCAAGTAGGTAAAACTGCTCAACCATCCAACCACAATGCTCTTCCCTTGTCGCATCGTGGCGCTTCTTCTCCCAGAATTGCTTTAGGTTACAATTTGCCAGTGGGAACAGAAAGTAGAATGTCGGCTCTGGATCGTTGGAATCGTACACCTCGAATGTTGCAAGGAGCTGGATCAAGTGCCTTTTCGTTTGCCCATGATCATCCGGGCCTGGTACCTTCAAAGCTCGACTCTCGGCGAAGATCAACGACCTGATTTCCAGGTCGAACTCGTCCGCACGAGAAGTGCCATTCGAGTCACTATGCTTCTTAAGCTTCTTTAAAGCAAAAAAGTTGGTGTTTTTCTGCCTCAGAGTATCAGTTTCTTGAACGTTCGTTCAGTCATGTAAAATCTGAAGTTTCACTTACCTCTGGGTCGAAGTCCCTGTCGCCTGGGTCAATCTCAACTTTGAAGACCTCGCCAAAGTCTCCTTCCTCATTCATCTTGTCTTTTTTCTCCATTGGAAGTGGCCCTCTCATAGGAAGAGGGCCGCCGCCTTTCAAGACGTAGTGACAATGCTTCCCGCCATCTTTCCATTTGATGAAGGGCACTGAAAAGGATCGACAGAGGGCGGTGAAAGTCTCTCGAGACTCCAGGTCCATGTCGTTTATGGATGCATGTTGGTGTTCATGGTGAGCACATATCAGCGTGTCCTCCTCCATGACTTCCTTAACTAGGAGGGGAAGACAGGTGTCACTGAGGCCTTCATCGATCAGTGTTTTGATGCTGCCGAGTGCTTCTGAATTCCCGGTCCCGATGAGGGAAGCAAGCAGTCGGCGACAGGGCGAGCGGCGTCCATCTTCTGTGCCCCAGTAGATATCTTGGGCAATTTGCATATGGTCCCTTGCTGTCAAGCCTTGGTAACACGCCAGCTTGGCGACTACCTGAAGAACAGCCTCGGGTGTGATGATGTTGTCAAACTGAGCACGAGTAACGAATCTCATTCCACGATCATGGGATCCAAGGAAGCCTTTGTTTTTGTGGGCTGTCTTGTAGAGACGGTCCTTGATGTGTCGGATAATCTCTGGGTTCTGTTCGGAGACTTTGATTGTCTGCGCTTCCGAGCATGTTTGTAGGACCAAGCCTCATTGCCCCTGTCATCAATCCTGTGGACTCGCCGGTTATCATACACCAAGTGGACGCCTGGAATTGGAGGCATTGCGGCCTGGAGGCCTAGGTCAGCGTGCCAGGCAAAAAGGAAGCCCTACCTTTTGGTAGATAGGTATACACGAACCTTCTATTCTTTTACAGAGTGGAGCTCTGTGCTGTCCGCGGAGCTGTAGATGATTTGCGGCGACTGTTAGCGCTAAAGGCGAGGCAGCGCTTCAGCCTGGCCAGCGAGGAGGAAGATGGCTGGCGAAGGGACAATGTTCGGCGACGGTTTACTGCAGACAATGCAAACAAGTGCTTGTTTTAAAAGTGCAGCACAAACAAATTCATGGATACAAGAGTCTACTCGATTCAATTGAGAAAAAGAAGGCGGGCAAAACGTGAGCGCGGCAACCGTTTCTAAACGAGTTTTTAAACAACTTCTACACATTTTGTATAATCAACCTGTCATGGGAAAATTCACACCATCTGTTCTCTAGACTTGGATACCTTGAAAGGAAAATTAGCTTGGGCCATTTCTTGGATGCTAATAAGTTTCACCAGTTGCAAAAGCTAGTAACTGCCGCTTGCCTATTTTTGGGCCTTTGTCACCAAAGGGGTTGCGTGTGACAGGTCGTTGATTGGGGGTGCAAGTGCTAGGCGTATTGCCGTCACGGTGCGCGCAGCGCTTCCAAGTACAGGGCTAGCCAATGACAAGGGAGAGTTGGAGATGTTAGCCGCCGACAACTACATCCCGACGGCAAGCACATCTGCATGGTTGCATTGTTTTGCACGGCCATTTCCATCTTGATGATGATGATAATACATGAAGTGGTCCGGAGTTCTCTTTCTTTGAGTCTCCATTTCTCTTGGTCGTTCTCCACAGTGTTCAAGTTGCTGGCAACAGGTTAAAACAAATATGGCCTCATCACTACCGTGGCTCATGTTTTGTAAGTTTGTATAGCTTGGATCTGCAGGTGTTGAACTAACCTACCTACCTACAGACCTCATCTCACAATTACATCTCGTCTTGGGTCAGACCAAAGCTTCAAATGTCTTTATCCCTGAGGCCAACACCATCATTTCCATCAACCTCCCAGACGATGGCTCAAACGATATCAACTTTTACGTCAGCTCTCCGGATTGGTATCAATACTCGGCCATTGGCTTCGGGTCCAGCATGGCAAACTCGGTAATTTTGGTGATGTACCCATCCGCAGACCGCAAATCAGTCACCGTCAGCCCACGGTTCACAAAGTAGACCCCCCTTCACACATTTTCCCCACCTCATAATCGTCGACTAACCCCTTCACCAGCGGCAACACGGAACCAACCCACCACCCCCTCCGCATCACCCTCCATCCTGGCAGCGAGCTCTCCCCAAAAACAGGCCAAATGACGGCCAACGGCACCTGCCACAGCTGCCGCAACCTCCAAAGCCAATCCGCCCCCTTCAACCCCGCCATCCCGACCAGCAACACCCCCACCGCACCGATAATGTTCGCCGTAGGCCCCAACTCGGGCGCCTTCTCCACCGACGACCTCGACGCCCGCATCCGACGACACGTCGCCCACGGCATTTTCAACATCGACATCTCCAAATCAACCGGCCCCGGCGGGGTGGGGACACCAACAAACATAACTCAGCACGTCACCTTCCCGGATGACGACCCCTCCCTCAAAAAGTCAAGCAACAAAGCCGCCACCGCGCACGGGATCCTGTTTGCGATTGTGGCCCTGGCCATCGCACCATTCGACAATCTTGTTGCGGCTTTCCTGGGGAGGAAGTGGCCCAAGCTGCATGTTGCGACTGGGAGTATTTACTTTCTGTTTACCCTAGGCGCGATGGTGCCCGGGCTTGTCATCAGTGGGCAGCATGTTCTTACGAGCAAGATGGGAACGGGGCACCAGGTTTTGGGGTTGTTGACTGTGGCGGTGATGGTGGCCATGGTTGGATGGGGGGTTTGGGTCAGGAGGCGGGCAGCGGAGGGGCAGGAGGTGGTTGGGAATGGAGGGTGGGTGAAGCAGGTGCACGCTTGGGGTGGGAGGGGGATTTGGGTCGCGTTGTTGGTGAATAATGGATTGTGAGTGCTTGCGTGATGGCCGTGAAATTTGGACGAATGCTAACATGGAAAAAAAAAAAAAAAAGGGGACTGAAATTGTCGGAGCAGACAAGGTTGGTGATGTTGGGGTATGCAGTTCTGGCAGGGGGCATGTTTATACTGTTGGTCCCCCTCTATTTCTGCTTGTGGAGGTGTACAAGTGCTAGAAAGCCCAAGGCGGCGGAGGAGGATCATGAGCTGTACAATATGCCGAGTATATATGACCACGAGGCGAGGTTTGGGTATGGCAGGCAGTGATCAGCGGTGGGAATGGGGCGGTTGTAATGATATGATGTGTTAATTTGCTGGGGATATGTGGATCTCTATCATCGCTTGATGTTGAAACATGGTAACGATGGCTACCCTTATTGTTGCTACTGACGGGTGCAAGGAACACCCAGCCCAACAGCTGTTTTGGAAGAGGCAGTCTGGGCATTACCGATCGATCTATTGCCAGAAAGTAGTGAAATCATATTCTCCTCATGGGAATTCTTGACCCTAATGACAGTAAGACACCAAGCTGAGCTTTACAGGAGCTGGCAAGGCACAGGGAGAAGTTGAGACAATTCAAGAGAAGATCGCATGCCACCACCAAGAGTCTGTGGAGCAATTTCATGATACCAACACGTCTTTTGAAAAGGGAGGACAGACAGGGTGTCCCGAGCTTTGGAAAGTGTCTCAGCAGAGGGAGTCATGTTGGAATGGAGTCAACGAAATTTGTTTACTCGCGACGCGACTGTTGGGCATTCCGGCTTGCATCAACATCAGATCCGAAACCATGATTTATGTTCGAACACCACGCTGTCTTCTTGTGACCTCTCTCTCTCCAGTCATCTCACCCCAGCCCGGATCAGACACACCTGGACGAAGCCAACATGAAATTGACGCAGCTTGTAGTATCCTGGACGGTGCTGGTGGGCTCAGCCCTCGCTCAAAACCCCGACCCCTTGACCTTCACCCAGATCAACAGGGTCTGCGAGAATGATCGTCTGCTCCGGGCAGTTCGCTTCCGCGAGGCTGTCAACCAGGACTGGCTCGACGCGGTGCGATACTGCTCCTCTCTTGTTTATGCCCGGACCAGGACATCAACCATCACGCTGAGCTTCGACCTGGCTAGCTTTGGAGTGCAAAGGGAGACTATTTCGACTACAGAAACCACGACTCTCCCTGATGTCCGGGTGACCAGCACCACCAGCACCACCACGACTTCTTCCACCACCACCACAAGCACGTCGGCTACTTCGACACTGGTCTGCGGCGGAGTCCACGTTGTCGCGGCTGGGGATACATGTTACTCGATCTACTCGGCGTATGGCCTCACCTTCAGCCAGCTGCGGGACCTCAACCCCGGCATCAACCGGTTCTGCAGCAACCTTGTATTGGGTGCGCGTCTGTGTGTGGGCGTCCTCTTGAACGGAGGCAACCCATCCACGACGACGACGACCACCACCACAACGTCCACTTCGGGAACCATCACCTCCTCGCCAACCTTTTTCGTTCCCAAGGCCAAGCGCAGTGACGCGCCCGAGGCCGAGTACTGCGCAGAAGGAGAGGCGCCTGCTGTTGCGCGGCCAGCTGTCTGGGAGGCCGAGCCGGTCAATCGGGTCAACTACGCCTGCTCCTGTATCATGTGGAGAGACGTGTCGGTCCACCCGATCCAGACGGTCCTCATCTCTCCCACAGCCTTCCGTGTGTCGGTTTTCAACACAGCCGATCCCACAGGGACCACCACGACCCGGTCCATCAGCGTCATCACAGCGTACAGCACCATCACGGTCGACGTATTCACTGGCACCACGGCGACACCCAGCACCTCGATCACCACGTCCACTTCGACCTCGACCACCAGCAGCGTCACCTTTACCACGCTGCCCATCGTGACTGCATTCCGTTCCTTCCAGTGCAATGTCGGCGACGCTTTTGCCCAGTGCTGTGTTGCCGGTGGCTTGTTGGGTGGACTTATCGGTCTCGGATGTGAGCTCACTACCCTTCTTCCCCTTCCTTCATCAAGCGCTGCTGACCATGACAAAAAAAAAAAAACAGGCGATGGTGAATTCGTGCTCAGCCACGCGCCGTGCCCAGCTACCCAAGCCGTCCCTCTTTGCTGCAGTGAGCTGCAGGTGAGTACCCTTTTTCTGGCGTCTCAAACGAGACCAAGCATGGCTGACACTTGCTGGAAAAGCCCGGCGATGGTGGATCGACGACAGGTTCCGACTGCTACCTGCCCACCCCAGTCATCAACGGTCGTGCCGCCCTTCCCACACCGTGGTAGGGCGTTCACATCATGTAATATGCGCCATGGATCTGGAGGCTCTGTCTTTCTTCTCGTCATTTCTTCACATTTACACTTGTTTGCGCGTCCTTGGCTTTTTGATATTTTATTTTTTCGCTTCGTGGAAGAGAGAATGTACCTACTACGGGTCTGTTTAGTAATAATTTTGCAAAGAATGAAAGTGACCGTTTGTTGGAATGTAATTCTCACCGAGAAATATATGCAAGAGGTCGAAGCGAGGGGTTCACGTGATAGCCTTGGCATTTTGTGGGGTGGTGGAAAACCCGCGTCATATGTACCACGAAGTGGTCCTTCTCAGTACTTACCTACGGCCGGAAGCTTAGTCGAACCTCTGATTTTCAGTTCCAGTTCCAGTTACAGTTTTAACATGGATCACGGACGTTTGGGGTAACTCCAATGGCCATATTTCGACTGCTTCTCTCCGTCCATTGTTGGCCGTAAAAGGCTCTTCTTGTCCATCTGTCCCTCCTCCAAACAGCCTTCATAGCAAACAACCATGGCCAAAAAGAAGTCTTCGTCCCAAGAGGACCTCGTCGAGGCTGAAAGCGACCTCGGCCACCAGAAACTGGTTAGGTCCCAGCAGCAACTCATAATATGCAGAAACAAGTGCGCCCAATGTCCTGCACTGCCTGCTGTTCCCCCCTGCTGACTTGGTGTCTTGTCAACTCCTAGACACTGGCGATACATATCCGCCTTCCACGGCCCATGGCTCCAGCTCCCCCCCGAGGTCATTGAGACTCTGGCCAATATCAATTACAACACCCCTCGACCCCGCCCGATCGATCCTGCCGTGTTTTTCGACCTCGTCAAGATTAGGAGACTCGTCGACGAGGCCATTGACCTGGCTGTGCGCGCGGCGAGCGGCGTTGCTTCTCTCAGCCAGCAGAGCATCCCCGGCCTACACCATGCAGCCGCGTTGGGCCTGGGGTTTGGCTTTCGTCCAGGAAACCAAGCAAAGCTAAGTCCGGAGAGAAAACATCGAATGCGAAAAGATGCGACCCACAAGCTTTGCAAGGCGTACAAGCTGGATGAAGTAGCCTGTAGCGTCTCGACCATGCAGAGCGCTTCGGCACTGGAGGAGGTTGCTTCTTTGGTGCTTCAACGGAGTCCGGACGACAGCGACGCCAAATATGTGCACTTCTTTCACGAAAAGATTCCGAGTCGACAGCTTGCCGAATGCACGAGCTTGCAGCCATTGGACGAAGCGATACACGAGAATCCCTCGGACCCAGAGCCTCTGAGGACTCGAGGCATCGTCAAGATATTCAAGGAGGACTTTCAAGGGGCCGTCGCCGATTTCACAGACGCCCTGAGGGTCCATCGCCTTCGCCGACCAACCCACCGTTATGCAGGAAAGGAGGCCGAAGCCGAGCAGCAGGTGGCGCAAAGGACGGCGCGAAGAACCGAGGATGTTGTCTTGAAGGAAGAAGAGCAGCCGAGCAGCCTGGAGACACAGCTTTTGTTCCAACGTGCTGGAGTCTACCTCACCATGGCCTGCCAGCATGTTGACGCAGCCTTCCCGGACGGCTCTCCCCAAGAGCCAGAACCGGACAGCGACGGCGACCAGGCCTCCCCGCCATTGTCCCCCGAGGTTCTGGAGGCGAGGCAGCATGTGAGACAGAATGCGAAGCGGGCGCTTCGTGACTACATGACTTACCTTTCCCATTTCGAGTACTCGCCCGATCTACCCTTGGACATCGCCGAGGACTTTGCCCGCAAGGTGAACTCTATCGCCAACGGCGTCCGTGTTCCCCGCCACACCACCAAGTCTGCGTCGCCCGTTGGAAACGACGAGAGAACCGCACAGAAACCACACCGCATCTACGTCCTCTCGGATCTGTTTGCTCCTTCGCCACCACCAGATCTCCCGCCGTATCCCATCACGGACCTAGCCTCAATGCAGGCACACCAGCCACCTCCGCCCGTTCTTTCTCCCGTCACCACAGAAACACTGACATACCACCCTCTTTTGGCCGACGCTCTCCACGCTCTCTTACTCTGCCACTGTCTCATCCAGACCTCGGCCAAGGAGCTCCTCCGCCACGCCTACATGGTCGCCCGCCTGGCCCGCCTAGCAGACGGCTACCCAGCCTTCCAAGCTAGTCGCTCCCCCGCCCGCACGGACTGGGTCGAGGTTCTGCGCGCAGGAGGAAACTGGATCCAGCTAGCAGGCGCATGGGATGATCTCTGCGCGCCAGCTCCGGTGCCCGTTTTGCACCCGAATGGTTCCTCTCCGCTGCATCATCTTCAGCACCAGCCGCCGCAGTCCAAACCTGCACTGCCGTCGTCAGACACCACCGGATCAGAAGTATCCACCGAACTGAAGGAGCTTCCCTCCCCCTTCCCATTTCCTGTCCCAGTCGAGACAGAAAAACAGCGCAAGGACCGCTTGCATCACCAGATTGTTCTCGACGCCTTGGGCGACGAGCGGGTGAGCGACGAGCCGAGTTTCCGGCAGGCCGTGCTGGCCAGGCAGCTAAGGGCGGAGCACGACTACCAGCTTGCGAATGCCGTGGCTGAGCTACGCGCGCAGATAACATCCGGTGTTGTGGCTGGACAACCACAACAACCACAACAACCACAACAACCACAACAACAACAACAACAACAACAACAACAACAACAACAACAACAACAACAACAACTACTACTACTACTCCCGGCAAATGGTCATGATGATGAGGATGATGATGGGTCTAGTTTAGAAGGGGCAATCGGGAATTTAGACATTGACGGGCAAAAGGTCACGAGCGATGGGAATGGCGGGGTTGTTGCCCGTGCCCAAGGGAATGGGAATGGTGGTGGGCCAGGTAGGCATGAGCTCGAGAAGGAGTACCCTGTTGGGAGCGATAGGGCTTTGGCAGTGGCGAGGTGGGTGTTGGATGCGCCGCCCAATGCGGGGATCGTTCCCGGGGACGGGAAGAAGAGGAGGAAGAGGACTGTCAAAAAGGTTGCTGCTCCTGCTGCCGCTGCTCCTGGGGGTGAGGCGGAGAAGGTTTAGATGCTGGCTGGTTGGCTGCATGATTGCGATATCATTGTACCAAGTAGAAGGGAAGGGGCCCAACCGACTCGTTGATGTTTTGTGTTGAAAAATAGTCTATATACAAATCCATCAACTGTACAAAGTAACACAGTGGCCATAATCTGCAAACCTACTTGTATCCAAGAACAACCAGACACAAAAAGAAATGAGTAAAATCAACGCTTAGGTATCCCGTCAACTCCTGTGGGGGGGGGGGGGGGGGGGGGAAAAAAAAAAAAGGGTGGGGGGATAGGGAGAGACGGTATTATAAGAGGAGAGGAGGGGGAAAAAAAATAAAAAAAAAGGGGGGAGAAAAAAGAGAGGAGAAAAAAGAAAGGAAGTAGGAGGAGGGGGGGGAAGGGGGGGGAAGAGTGAGAAGAAAGAAAGAGAAGGAGGAAAAAAAAAAGAAGGAAAAGGGGAAAGAGAGGGGGAGGGGGGGGGGGAGAGGGGGATAAGGGAGAAAAGAAGAGGGGGGGAAAAAAGAGAAAAAGAGAGAGGGAGAGAGGGAAAAGGGAGAGGGGGGGGGGAAGAAAGAGGGGGGGGGAAAGAAGAAAGAAGAAGGGGGGG